ACAAAACAAAAAACAAAAAACCACTGTACCTTAAAAGTGAATATACTTTCCTACCTTACCATGTGCAAGGAAGTGTTGTCTTTCTGTGGTGGTGATGGTTCCAGCAGCAGACAGTAATAATGAAACAATCCTATTTCCATTATTTTATTGCCATTTGTGATGTCTCCTGTTTAAAGTAACTCTTTGAAGTTAGAGACTGTTTTTTTCCCAGTTATTTCCAAGGTCATAGAGRGTCGCAAATCTTTGTACAAGGCACAGGTATCTTTCCCAGGTTCACTTCCCTAAGTCTACCCTATCTGTAAGCTTTGTGCCTGGAAGAGATTTACATTGTATCTAAGCATTTGGCTCTGCTCCCTTGTCCAAAGGTTGAACATCTGGCGGGACAACAGGATTGGGGGGGGGGGGGGGGGGGGGCGGGGCTGCGGGGAAGGTATGGCACCAGCAGCAGTACTCGGTGCCAGCTTGTGTGCATGTGGCTTGTGAATCCTCAGCCCCTGTGATGCCATTTCTGTCTTGTGTGGGACCAGAGGAATTCCAGAGTTTTGTGCTGATCTGCTGGGGAGATCCGTTAGCAGTGCAGGGATTGTTGTTCCAACAGCTGTTCTTTTCTTCTGTAGGTAAGAGGTTGGCTCCATCACACCACTTGGCCATCTGTTCTAGCAGGTGGACTGGGCTGAAATAGATGACTTTYTGAGGTTTCTCCCAGCTATATGTTCTATTGTTTATGCTCTCTGTGGCCTTCCTTTGACATGTATGCACCGCGACATAGCTGCAGACACCTGCACATCTCTGAGAGCTGTGCTTATCTATAAGCTTTGCTTCCCTTGTCCTTCCCTTTTGAGACCTGCMTTGACACAGGATCATGGATGCCACCATAGTCCCTTCATCTCAAGACTCTCCTAACTTTTCTTTTAGCTGCTAAGTTTGTAAATAAATATGACCTAYTTAATTATGCCAGAGGTACAGGTAGCAACAGCATGGCTCTGTTTACTGGATGTTTTAAAATTAGTTAACTGACGCTAAGGTTGCATTCAGTTTCTTTCTTCCAGTTCACAGCTTGGGACAATGGAGTCTCCATGATCACATCTACTTTCTAGACTTGATGGTACAGCTTCATGTTATGGTTTTAAATCTCCTCAGTTRGTAAAAACTTCTTTTCCTGAATGCTTGGTTGATAATCTGTTTTAAATAGACTGTTTGGTTTATTTTTGAATTGCAGAGAAGCCTGAGAAATTGTTGCTAGATATTTTAATAGCAGTGTGGTCGAATGGAAGAACTATGATTCAGCTCCTAAMTTTTGAACCTCAAATGGTATTTCATAGCACAGCCATACATGTRATAGATTAATCAGGCTTTATACTGTTCTTTGTGAAAGGATTTTTATGGACTGTCCGGATAATTTCTGTTGCAGATTTGGTTAACAAAGACTGATTCTAGCTGGAATATTGATAACAAAGTTTACTGAGTATATAAGAGGGCAGGTAGCAAGGGGAAGGCTTGGGAATAAATTTGCTGAATGGTTTTAAGATGTTATCTGTCTGTGAAGTTWCAAGTGTAGAAGATAATTTGGGTTGTGGTGATACAGTAGTAATGGGAATGATTTGACTGTATGCTGACAAGATGGAAAAAATGAATGATTTGCTGTTAATGAGGTATTTTGGAAGGGGGAGCCCTGAACAACCTTGACATCTTGTTGTGCAGTGGTGCTGCAGGGTGATCCACGTGTGGTGCCTCTTCCTTACACCACCCTGCCTGGGTAATATTGATTTCTTATTGATTCCTTATTGGCTGGGAACCAACTGCTGTATGGTATTGTATATTGTCTTTTGAGGAGAGAGATAGCTTTTTTTTTTTTTCCCCTAGAATCATAAAATAGTCTGAATTGGAAGGGACACAGAGGGATCATTGTAGTCGAATTCCTTTGCATTTCATTTAGAGCTAAGGTTAGGTGTTTGATGAAATGTGGCTAAAGGCTTAGCTAGTGACATTTTATTGTTTGTCTTGGCAAAACGATGTTAACTGAACAACATTGCTCTACCTTCCAAAAAAAAAAGGTGGCCTTTTTCCCAGAAGAAAGTGACAGAGGCTTTTCAGAGTCTCTATTTTAGCATTACATTTTTTTGTGCTTTAAAATGCCTTGATRCTGAATTGCACAGGTCCTAATTTAAAGTTTCTCTCTTTGTCTTTAGAATTTAGATTTTAATTGTAAAGTTGTTTTTTAAGCTTAGGATTTGATTAAAAAGTTGATATTTTGCTTATGGAAGAACTTTCTGTCAGAACACATACGAGCAAGCATGCAGTCCTTTGTTTGAAAATAAAGCCAGTGGTGTGTGGGAAAGAGAAACTAATATGTCTGGATTGTTGAGGTGGGGTTCTTCGTGTTTTGCTGCTTGGTTTAGAAAAATTGGTTATGAATTGATGACTTGCCTTTTTTTTCCTAGCTCCACTCGTGAGGGAAAGTAAGCCAGACATCAAATTATGTTATTACCAATTTTCTTTTTGATGATGGCTTTTTAATATCACTTTATCCATCTACTTTTACATTTCTCCTCATACGAGTTCTGTTTTTTTCCTGTCCCAAAGGCATGTCTTATCTTCCATTCCCTTATAATTAGTAACATTTGGTCCTCAGTATTTTGATTAGAAAATGCCAAGTGCCAATAAAGACCTCCCAGCTTTTATTCTATTGTAGTTTCAGTGTGGTTTCTCAACAGAGTAAAGATGTTGCTTTCTCTGTTAATGTAATCTCTAGGCAGGCAGTGAATGATATAAGCCAGGGTTACAAAAGGAATGGTTGAGGAACAGTAGTTAGTCATCTAGAAGTAGTCCTAAACTACTTCTAGAAGCCTTCATCCASCTTTTGAAGGATGGAGGTACTTGGAGGGCAGACTGAGGGCAAGTCAGCAATGCTGAATTCCCCCCAGGAATGCATGCAGATTCCCAGGGTAACTGAGGTGTGACTGCAAGGGTCCCTGTGATACCATGCAGCTCAGTACAGATCAAGTTGTGTGGAGGTGCTRTAGTAGCGTAACTTGGTATCACCTAGTGATGTGTGGGAGTTGTGTTACAGTGTTTGACTATCTATCCTATCTCGCTCAAGGCTTGGGCAGCTCACACGTTTCCAGAGCATTGTGTACCAATCCAGAGCCCACTGGACTCTGAAGAAAGGTTGTTTGTGATAGAGGTTTTGGATGAAGCCTTGTCTAAGCAAAATTATGTACGTCTTACAATAAAGATAGTAAAACTTTGGATTAGTGCAGTTGTTTTTTTAATTCACATTTTATTCGTGTCAGTTGGCTCATTTATAAAGAGGGGACATAAAAGCTAAAAGCTAATTAATCTGATAACGTCAATGTGATAATTATCTGTCTTGATTTCTTTTTAAGCTGTGTAGCAGCAGAAATGGTTTACACTGGCTTTTCCGGTGCCAGAGACTAGCTGGAATTAAAGCAATCWTGACTCAATCCTATATGTAATGTCAGAACTGCATTCCTAGTTCAGCTGCACCTTGACGAGYRCTATTTCCCTAGCAGAAAGGTACTCTGATGCCTGTCCCAGTAGTTAGAATGCTAACTTTGCATTCCTCTTTCCTTCTAGGTTATGTTTCACACTATGTGCTGATTGTCTGTACTTACAGAAGATATTTAAAACCCAACAGACTTTTTTGCAAAATTTTGATTCCAGTGGAATCTGTGCTTTAGATTTTTGTCTTGTCAATTAACTCCTGAAGCAATGCCTGTACAAGCTCCACAATGGACGGATTTTCTCTCCTGCCCGATTTGCACACAGACTTTCGACGAAACGATTCGGAAGCCCATCAGCTTGGGTTGTGGCCACACTGTCTGCAAGATGTGTCTCAACAAGCTCCACCGTAAGGCTTGTCCCTTTGACCAGACCACTATCAACACRGACATTGAACTCCTTCCTGTGAACTCAGCCTTGTTGCAACTCGTGGGTGCTCAGGTATCTGTGCTCTTTTTTTTTTTTTTTTAAATCTCTTTGTATTTTCCTTCTTTTAGGAGGGTGAGTCAGGAATAATGAAGAATATGACACTGTGCTACTGAAGTGAAGAGAGGGCATCTACCTTTTTGTAGATGTCTACAAAAAGTAGTAAAGGCACCTGGAGCAATAGTTTACATCTTGATTGTGCTGATCACTTACTGTGATTTTTGTTACATCTAACTCCATGGGCTGTCACCACAATGGGTTTGTTGAGTTCCCTTCCTTCTTCCCTGGCTCCTGCCTAGCCATGCTCTGCCAAGAGRATGAGCTGGATCAATGAGCTTATTTTGTGGGAAGACATTTTTCTATGGTAGGTTATGTCCTTTACTGYGCTCACCCTATGAGACCTTTGGTCAGTTGTCCCAAAAGCAGGATGGAAGTGTAAAGGATGTGGGAGAGATCTCTCTGGTAGCAGCCTTTATACAGCCTTATTTGAAACTACGCAATGGAAATAAAGCTTCCTGAACTGACACGTTACTCTAAAAACATATAGGTGAGGAGTGGGGAAGCCTGCTTGAGACTTGCCTTTTAGCTGCAATCGGTACTGGTGAGGTCAGTTGAAGCAGTGATCTGATGGGGATGAGTGGCACTGGTATTGACAATAATCCCAAGAAAGGGGCAGGGATGCGTGGAAAACAGGATTACCCTGTTCAGTTGCAGCACAGACTTTTAAGTTGGCAAAAGCTTATCGATGTTAGATCACTGATAGCTTCCTGTGACCCACACCTTCCAAGGCTTGTCGGCAGGATTTTGGTCTTGGGAGAGGAGGGACAACTGTGTCTAACCTATGGGTGGGGAATGAAAATGTAGATGGGATGCAGTTATCATAAAAGGGTTACTGTTTTATTTTGTACTGTCTCAGTGTCTGAGCTTATTGAAATTGAAGGCAGCAGAAAATTCAATGACGTCTTTAGTTCAGGGGAAAGGAAGGAATTGTGGAAGAGCTGTGAAGGGTATGGAGGAAAGACCGATGCTCTTACATTGCTTTYTGGTAGGTACTGGGACTTGGAGCTCCAGATGGGCTTTTGCCACTTCTTAGTTTATCAAGTAGTATGGCTAATTTGTTGTTTTTCTTTTGTGGTGGATGGCATTGACATTATTTGAGAAGTTAGAAATGAAATTATGTTTCTGGCTGTGCTAAATTACTCATCCTGCTCTGCAGAAGGAGGCATTGAGATTGTGCACTCCCATTTCTGCGATACTCTGCCATCTTTGAAGAGCTTCCAAGCAGTATGAAATCTGTGGGTGATGTCATAAATAACTACTATAATTCTCTTTCTCTCTTATATGTTAGTGCCTCCTCTGCAGTTTATTGAATAGTTCCAGTTGCATCTGAATGTCTACATTTGTGATGTCTTTTTTCCTCTTACATCTATTGGTTGTTTTGTATGCATGTATTRAGCTTTATGAGAAGCTGTATGATAGCTTCAGCTGGAGGCCTGAACTAAATTCTGGAGGCCCGAATTAAAAATTTTATAAAAACAAGGTGTTCTGGAATGAAATGGAAACCCACCCTGCCTCTGTACAGGTAACTGAGTTTATTTTTTCTGGTTTTGCTAATTCGCCAGCCAGAGTTTCCTCATCGATATGTGTGAGGTATGAAGAAAGGTTTTATAGTGTAGTGTTTGTCTTGATAGCAGTCTGAACTTCAGGTTCTGACKTTGCACTCATGACATCATTTTGCACTCCTTTTTCATCTGAAAATTTTGTGTGATTAAGATTCACAGAACTTTGTTTCATCATGACCTTAAAGCTTTAAATGCCACTAAAAGAGACATTATTCCCACCCCGTTCCTTGCTACTCATTCCTGATTGTTTTGCTACTCGTGGCATTCTGTTGTTACCTGTAGCAATAACTGTAGATACTAGCTMAGTATTTATTACTGACAAACTTTCCCCTTAAGAGAACTTGGAGCCAGCTTCCCTTCCAGCTCCTGATTTCTATGAGCATGTGAATGAAATCAGTATTCAGTATAACTCGCTCTCCTTTCTCTTCCCCTTCCCTTCCTGGCAGCTGTTGTTGTGTTTACCAGACACTGGACTACTGGAAAATAAGGACGCTACTTTGGTGTGAAGGACAGGGAAACAGTCGTTGTTTTCCAATAGACTAAAGCCATTTGTAAAACAGAACAATGCTATTTTTTTTACAGAAAAATGCTTGCTTAARGACAAATTTAAACAAAAAAAGTTACTTTAGAGAAACTAATGATTTTGAACGGTCTCCTACTAAGAGAATGCGCTCTTCTGGTATATATCAACAAAAATGGTCTGTGAGCAGTAATCCAGCTTTCAAAGCATGACTAGTGTCAACTTCAGCTGAAACCAATTCCGTTTTCTTTTTCCACTTCTAGGTTTAGTTTCAGGAGTGTGTATGTGTTATTAATGTCCCTTAATCTCCAACAAACCTCTATACACCTTAACCTAAGTCCACAGAGATTTGTAATACTTAATTTTTAAAAGTCTAAATAAAAGGACTTTTTAGAAGGAAATACAGTAAAGCACAGCTAAAGCTTTCATCTGTGAGGGGGAAGAATAGTTTGTTCTTTTCCCTTTGGAGTGACTTCTGAGGAATTCACAAATTTATACGTGTTAAGTGCTTTTTTGTTGAAGGCAGAGGAGGAGACCAGGCAGTTTGGAGAAACAAATCTATTCTGCTGTGACTGGCAGCAATGACAGGATTCCAGGGCAAGTCACTTAGGCTTTTGCACAAGCACAGCGGGTGAAATAAGCAGGACTGTACTTCTGGGGAAAACATACTGAATTTGTCGCACAGTCACCCAGGAAAGCAGTAACCTGTTTCWCTGACAGTAGCATTTTCTCTCTGGATAGACTTTGTCACTTCAGTAATGAAAATCGTTGGTTTCTTACTTGAATTAGACTTTCTCAGTTTTTCTTCTCCCCACCCCTTTATGAAAATGAAACCTGTTGCCCAGGTTATAGCCACCCTTGGTGTGAAGATTAACTGTTGTGGAGACTCAGATTTGTACCTTCTCCCCTGTAGCACAGTACACATCAACAGGGGCTATTCTGGAAGGCAGTGGTCATGGAATCACAGAATGTCTTGGGTTGGGAGGGACTTTAAAAGCCATCTCACTCCAGCCCCATGCTGTGGGCAGGGACACCTTCGACTARACGAGGTTGCTCCAAGCGCTATCCAACCTGGCCTTGGACACTTGAAGGGATGGTGTATCCACAGCCTCTCTGGTTGGGTAGTTCAGATCTTATCTAGATACGATGAGGTGGGAGAAGGGATCATAAGGGGAAGATGAGAATTATTATTCCTGGGAAAGCTGCAGATAGCTGAGTGYCTAAGCAGGAACTGTGTATGTTGTGAGGAAAGGGAGATAAAGGCCTTGGACACAAATCAGCAAAGGCATTTGTGGGATACCTTKCTTCTTAGACTTCTTGGATAAAGGAATCCCTCAGGTTTGTTTCTGTGGGAATAAGGGTTTGAATTCTAACSGTTCAAGCATCCACATGTCCACTCGCTATATGCAACTATTTTAAGTATTCACCTGGCCAGTGTTTTGAAGGTACGTAATCATGGATCTGTCATCTAGGCTCTTCCCTCATGTTTTTTTTTTTAACCCAAAACAGCTTACACATTTCAAACACGTGACATAGAGTGGCAGAAATGCCTGTGGTCCTTTAATTTTGGCATTGTCTCCTGCTGGACATGATAAATACAATTCTAGACATTATGCAATGGAATTGTACATGATGAGAGACTGGGTGGAGTGATCTTAACTCACAGCTGTTTGAAAAGGGGAAGATTGCAAGTGCAGATCTATTAGAGCCMTGTTTGATCATTTTTTGTTGTAACTTTTAGTGAAATCAAGTGCCACAAAAGAGAAATTATCTGTAAAAAGTTGTCCTTAATGTAAACTTTTGAGTAACCTAAGATGGTAGGCTTTGGGTTTTCTTTAGGTTTTTTTGTCAGGAAGCAAATAATTCATGGGGAGTACTGGTAGAAACAGTTTTCAAACCATCCAAAAAGGGGTTTGGTCTGTTCAACATGCTGTCATTCTATGCAATTAGACATCTAGTGGTAATTGCTGACAACTCAAGCTGACTTCCTTCATCAAATTACACTTAAATCACCAATTCAAAATCACTGCCTGGTATGAGATGATGCTTTAGCATTCTTTTCCAGTCCCCTTCCTCATGCAATTAGAACCTGTCTCTTCCCATAGCCACCAAGCCATGCTGAATAGCATTCCACTACCAAGATACTTGCAGTCATTGCCAAGGCAGATACATGCAAAACAATCACAGATGTAAAGCAATTAAACATCTGAGATAATTTTTCCTGTCTTGCTCTCATCCCCCATGGGAGGTGTTGACTACATGATGTGAATATATTTGCAGTAGAAATTGTCAAAAGGGTGTGATGTCTGAGAGACCGGAATATGGATTGAGGGTGAAAATAATGTGCTCACACTGCAGGGCATCTATTCTGAGGCTCCCAAGAGGCGTTGTAAACAGCAGTGACCATAGGGTCATGCATGCTATTAAAAGAATATTTTGGGAAATGGAAGTGAAAATGCTTTGGAGTTGAATTATTTCTCAAATGTCCCTCAACAATTCCATGATAGAGCCAAAATCAAAATTCACATTTCCTGTCATTTTTATGATTTATGACTTTATGATTTTTCTCTTGGTAGATGCTGTTCTTAATATTTTAGGGTTAGAATAATTCTAAGTCTTGGAAGTGCATGTAATGGAACCAGCAAAAGGAAAATTACTTGTAACTTTTGTTGTGAGGTGCATTGCATGAGTGAAATGCGTGTGCATGAGAAATAAATTCTCTTCTGCTAAACACTCATGAAACCACAGAAAAAGCATTTTGTTTTACTCTCCAGTATTACCCTTAGTCCAGCCTAAGATGGAAGATTAATCTCTTTTGGCCTTACTTTGCAAACAGAACAGTTGTGAAAAGCATTTAGATTTTTACATTGATGCTTCCCTTGAAAAGAGAAGGAATGGGAATGATAGGCAGGTAGTGTTTGAATAGCTTGATTAACTCTTGGAAGTTTTTCTCTGCCAGCTTTTTCCTGGGGGAGAGGGAAGCTTTCTGTTAGTTGCCTAGACAGTCCTTATGTCTCACTGGTGGAGTTGTGCTGTGTCTGGCATTCCAGATCAGTGCTCTGAATGTGTGCTAAACCTACTTCAATTCAGGGTCGAAATCCAGGGCTGAACGCGGCTTCCTGTCCCACGTCTGTTTCGAGCCCCCTTTGTCCACTGGGGGTTGCRAGGCAGTTGTATTTTGGGTCGTCGCCGGTGCCAGATGGAATACTTGCAGGAGCAAGTAGGAATTTGCACAAAGTGTATGACAGCAGTARATAGATCAGAGATGGTGCAGTGTCTGGGCACATGTGCTTGAGATGTGTCATTTGCTCAATAAGCCAGTTCTGCTGTGGAACTTCCCTGGCAGAAGCAGACTGCTGAAACGGCAGTGCCTTTGAATAGGAGGTGTGGAGTATTCTGATAATACTGCAGGCAAATATTGAACGAGTTAATAACTGTTTCCCAAATCCAAAGAAACCACYCGAGATAAGGCTGTTGTGGCAGTTTACAGCTGACCATTGTAACATAGAGAGTTGCAGAATCTCCTTTTGCTGAAAGTGTTCTTGTTTACAGACACAGAAGCCCCTCAAACATAAAAATGAAAATACTCCAAACAAATGCTGGCCCGAAATGAAAACCAAAACCCCCACACAGTGTCGCAAGTTAACTTCAGTCAGTGAAAAGTATTGAGGCTAACCTTGTTGTCTCAGTGTGACTGAACTTGGGTTTGTTTTTCTCTTTAGTAGGAATGAAAGACTAGATCAGACACAGCCTCTATCCTGTTTACATTCGTTTTGGGATAATACTATGTTAATTGCAGTTGATATGTTGCACTCTGAGACTTTTCTTTGTTGCCTGTTGTAAATGCAAGATAGTAACTTTCTATTTTGCTCCATGTGTCAAATGAGAAATTTAGCAGAGATCCTTTTCTAAGGAGAAGTGAGATCATATGACTGAAGCACTGCTTTCTGCTGCAATTGTTAGGAAAGCTGTTCACACTGGTGATGGCAACCATATATGTGTGTGTATATGTTTTATATCTTTTTTCTGCTTTTATTTGATGCTGCCATCATAATACTGCTCTTGCCATGGCTGGGTTGCACGTGAAGGTGAGCAGGTTTGTAACTGTATTTAACTGTAGCATTAAAGGCTTTTGCTTTCAGATTGAAGGCCTGGGTTGGTCTCTGTAAGCAGCTATATGGGATTAGCATGCTGTTACTGCCACGGGATGGGAATTGACTTGGAAACAGAAGTCTGAGATCTATTTGCACTTTGACAGCATATGCAAAAAGTGCTTGTRTTTAGTCTTCTGAGAAACTCCAGTTCTCTGTACTGTTACATTGGGTTGACTGCTGAATAATGATGTCAAGAAGTGTTAGTATGATGCTATACTGAACCCTCAAATTTGCTTAAAGCTTTAAGAATTTACCAAGTATAAATGAAAYTATAACTTGGGGAAGAGTTGGTCCAAATCCCTTGGAAAAAATGCTACTAAGTCTTTCTTCCTAATCTAAGTGGTTTCAATCACTTATCCTTGGATGATTTTAGAGCTGTGAGGTCCTAGATACAAATTTGTATTTACTAGCGGACCAGGGTTTTCTTCCTTTTTTTTCCCTGTGTTTTTTGTCCAGTCAGCTTTGGGGACGTTTCAATGTGTTCTATTTTGGCCAAAGTTTTAAAGGAAGTGCTATGTTAAGCCTTCTGCTTCTAGTTCCTGTCAGCCATTAAATAAAGGAAGTCTACTAAACATARATTCTCTGTCTTTTTGTTTTCATTTTCACTGGGGGTTTTTAAGCTATTTGTTCAGTAAATAAGCTGAAAAAAATGTTTACTAACATAGAAAAAAACACAGAAGGGTAACAAAACAGGAAATGCATGGTAGTAATAAGTGTTTATAAGCATGCTTGCCAGTTATTTGTGCATATTCATGGTAGATGTACATGCAATCTCTCTTCAGGTTCCTGAGCAGCAGCCGATTACTTTATGCAGTGGAGCTGAAGATACCAAGCATTATGAGGAGGGCAAGAAGTGCGTGGAAGAGTTGGCATTGTACCTTAAACCACTCAGCAGTGCGAGAGGTARTTCCTGCATGCTTCCTTGGAAAAAGAAAGCAAAAAACCAAACAAGATGCAAAACAAACTWTCCAAGTTATTAGTTCGTATGTTTGCAAAATGGTTATAAGCCTAGCTTAGAAACAAATTGAAACAAATTTCTTAAATATTAAGGTTGTGTGTTCATGGTGGGGAGGGGGATGTAGAATTGGAGGGTGTTAAAAATGATTCTGAGAAAAGGCTGAGGTGTTTGGCCATGGTGTAATGAGTTGAGACAAACTTTGATTTGATGAGGTCTGCAGAGTAAAAATAGATAATCTTGCCTCTTTTTTTCCTTCATTTCTGCGCTGTGGTAACTGCATAATGCCGCTGTTCTGTAGAGGATGAAAAACCAAAATTAAAAAGTCACTGCATATAAAATAGATAAGGAAAATTATAAGTAATACTTGGTTTATACAAGGCTATGTACAAGAGCTGGGTTRATCTAAGTAATTCTAAGTTAGCAAACCTGCACTGTGTTCAGGAGTATGGATTTTTTATGTATTACATGTGCTGGATTTGGACAGTGTCTCGGTTTGGAAGACAGGTGTCTTCTAAGGAAGGCAGRAGCCTCCTTTGGAATGGAAAAATATGGCCCTCTTCCTCCAAATTAAAATAATTTTGAAATTGAAGGCTTTAAGACAAAGATACGGGAAAAAGAATGACAGGTGTTTAGTAGTATTAATAACAAAGCAAACTAACAACAACGGCAGCAGTAACAAAACCAGAAGCCCAGTGCCAGCCTTCTCTGGGGCTGTCGGGCACTCTCCCCTTGGTGCAGTTATGGTCACAGCCGGCAGGGCGGGTGCGGTGATTCTCCCTCGGCTGCAGGGGGCGCTGTGGCGCGAGCTCAGCCGCGTCTCCCTCACTCSGTGATGGCGGGCTGGCTGGATGGCGGGGCGGGCTGCAGCGGGAACCTCAGAGCGGCGGCTGGGGCGAGAGGGGCTACATCGCCCAGGGTAGCGAGCAAGAGGTGGCAGAAACTTCGCAGCTGTGGCAGGAGCCGTGGTGTGTCCCGGCAGGCGAGGGTGCGGGGTTACAGTGTAGCAGAAACCCGGAGCAGTGTCAGGGGGAAAAAGGGCGGGGCTGAGCCGCGGCAGCTGCTGGAGGGGCTCCCTCAGAGCGGGAGGGGTTCGGGGTCCCGGGTTTTTCCTTGCGGCACCTGAATGGATGGTGTTGGGTGTTAATGAGGTCTCCGTTCARTGGCCACTCCTACGAGCAGAGCCTCACGGTAAGAGAAGAAGAGTAGGAGACGGAGCTCCACAATGGTGCTGGATTCTTACCGCAGCGACCGCAGCGTGTCTCCCTTTCGAATGCCCAGAGAGCAAGGCAACTAGCAACTCCCCCTGCCCCCTTTTTCCCAACCCAGTTCTCATGGAATCTCTGCTCTTCSCAGAGAAGCACTCAGAATAAGAAAAGTGCAGCCAAGTGCCCTCCTCCCCTGGGTTTGGCAACTTCTTTTGTCTCTCTTAAGTACCTGGTTGTTGTTCCTTAGCAACAAAATGGGGAGAAATCCTCTAAGAGAAAAAAACCCAAAAAACCTAATTTCCATCAGGCAGCCTGACATCCCAAGTWATGGAGTTGAGCATCATGGGCATCAGGTCTTCAAATATGAGTTTTTTCAAGAAGCTGTCTGAGCCTTTCCTGATCAGTGCAGTGTGACAGCAGTACTGGGTAATGGTGGTCCAGTGAGCAAGCTCTGTAGAGCAAATTCAGCATGGCAGCTGTATGTCTAGTGAGTCACTCATTCMTTTGGCCTGAATTAAGTGGCTCTCAGCACATTTGTGATTCGGAGTTTTGGCACATAGTTAAAGATGACCSAGCAGTTTAGGACTTATGTAAGCTCTAGACCAAAACAGTGAAGGTACCAGATGTAGGCAAGAAACTAAATGTGTTGTGAAAACAAACAAATGCCTAAGTGATCCCTGAAGTCCATGAATAAAGGATGAACTGGGAATCTCTACAGGAGGGTGTGATACAAACTGCCAACATGGGGAAAGGTTTCATTAGAGGTTCCACCTTTTAAAAAAGCCAGATCAGTCAATTACAGGATTTAAACCTATGGGGAAGCTGACTCCCAGAAATCTGCTTTTATTGTCAAGTAAAACGAACTGGCAGAAATGAACTTCTGATATGCYTTGAGTTGTATTCCCTCTGACGAAGTGGACGCCAGGAGGACTAGGTTTGCAGTACAGTGACTGAAGGCTGGTGCAAGAAGAGGAATATGAGGTAGTTAATTTTTCTGTTTTATTTTGTTTTGAAGGTGTGGGTCTTAACAGTACTACTCAGAGTGTGCTGAGTCGTCCCATGCAGAGGAAACTTGTGACATTAGTCCATTGCCAGCTGGTGGAGGAGGAAGGACGGATCAGAGCCATGCGTGCAGCACGGTCCCTGGGTGAAAGAACAGTCACAGAACTCATTCTCCAGCATCAAAACCCTCAGCAGCTCTCTTCCAACCTCTGGGCTGCAGTGAGAGCCAGAGGGTGCCAGTTCCTTGGGCCAGGTAAGTGACATTGCAGTATCACTGCTGTACTAGAAGCAATTTGGAATTGAGCCATTGGTAAATGGCTGTCCAATTACATGAGTGATTTTATTAAGCAATAGTTTAATTTCTTAATAGTAGTCTTCAGAATTAATTATATATCTGTTAAGCTGCTGCAGGTTTTCTCGCACTTTTAATGCAATTGCAAGTCTTCTATCAAATTCAGTATAGGGGTCCTGTTCTTGTTGTAAGATAAATAAGAAGTAGTTTCTCACTTGCTATTCCTTGAAGCAAGACCWTTCTCGAAAAAATTATGTTACTGGAAGTGACTGACAAGGCTTCTTTCTCTATGGCAGTAAATATACAAAGCAGTTGTGGGGATAGATTTGTTACAGTTATGTGTACACATTTTTAAGAAGTTATACACTTACAAAATTAAATTCTTTTGCTTAAAATACTAGAAAAAAATCAATGTTGCTTAAAAAATGAAGTCTCATTATTGAAAATATAGACTTCATTTGCTGAGTCTTGAAATATGAAGCAAATTTCTTAAAGAAAAAATATTGAAGGTTTTCCTCACTGAAACGGATGAAGACTAACTTTGATATACTAACTTTCATACCACTTCAGGGAAGAGGGAGGTTGGTTATATAGCAGAATAATGGTGCTGCAGCCTAGTTGATTAGTGTGGGCACTCACTTTTTTTTACTTGCATGGGAATGAACCTTGCTCTTCCATARTCTGTCAGCTTTTTCTTCTGGGATAATGTGAGACATAGGCAATACATTTTGAAAACTCACATTAATGATCAGCAGATCTACAGACAGAAAGCTGAGAATTCTTACCAGATAATACCCAAAATAGATGAAATAATAATAACAACAGCATTAATGATACAGAAAATAAATATATAAAGGTAAAAAGTCCTGTTTTCCCCAGTCACAGTCTGGGAATCTGGACGGGTTCCTTCTGTCTTTGCCCTCCGTTCTTGCTCGCTCCCTCTTCTCTCTGTGGGTTTGTGTGTCTGTTGAGGGGAGTTTTTAGCTGTCCTCCCAATTGTAGGTGAACAAAAAACTGCAGAGATGTTTCTTGGGCTTCTCTTATCTTTTGTCTCTTTTTGCATTTCCCTCTCAGCWATGCAAGAGGAAGCTTTAAAGTTGGTTCTGCTGGCTTTGGAAGATGGATCTGCTCTGTCACGAAAGGTCTTGGTTCTCTTTGTGGTGCAGAGGCTGGAGCCACGATTCCCTCAGGCTTCTAAAACTAGCATTGGGCATGTTGTCCAGCTCCTTTACAGAGCTTCGTGCTTCAAGGTATGAAGAAGATTCTGTCTGGAGGTTTCATAATGCTATGCCATGGGTTTTCACTTACACTTTTCATTGTCCTGTAACATTAAATGTGCCTAAAAGTATATGTAGTTGTGGAAAGTGTTACTTATTAACTCCTACATGAATTTAAAGAGTTGTCATTCAGCTGTGATGGCAGCGTAGACTGAGACAGCAACTTGAAGCTGCAAAGTTAGGTTTTGCCTCTGTCTGGTTTCATAGAGGCAGAGTTACAAAATCTGTATGTAAGGCAGCATACTTACTTTCTTAGATGTGCCTTAAACCTAAAAAATCCCTAGTTCTGTTAATTCAGTTGTGGTGTGGTTAGAATCACAGAAATAGGAGACTTTTTTGGGTGTCAGCTGTATGAAGGAAACTKAAACTGCTTAAGGTCTCTTGCTAGGTACTCAACTTAAGCATTATTACCTTCTGCTAAATGAGTAGAAAAATGCTTTGTATTTGCTAATTGTACCCTCAAACAAAACCTGCAATGCAAACAAAATATCTTGATTGAAGGTGTGGATGCTGTAAAGTCATTTGGGAAATGTGACACTGACCAATATGTGAGTCAGAGTCCAAGTAAATAATGTTTTGTATCCATTTTATTGTGGTTCCATGGTGAAGAGTGTGTTACTTTWGTAGGAACTGGTGTTCACTGGGTAGTGTCATAGTTGATTTTAGTTTGGAAGAAGGACTTARTTGCTGACTGAAGACGTCACTTGCYGTGGGCTTCTCATAATCTTGAGCTTATCCTGCTTAGTTGGATTTGGCTCGTTTCTCCTTTCTAGGTGACCAAGCGAGATGAGGATTCCTCTCTCATGCAACTGAAGGARGAATTTCGGACTTACGAAGCTCTGAGAAGGGAACATGATTCCCAGATAGTCCAAATAGCTATGGAAGCAGGTTTGCGTATTGCACCAGACCAGTGGTCCTCACTGTTATACGGAGAYCAGTCTCACAAATCCCACATGCAGAGTATCATCGACAAGGTAAAGCCACCTAAAATCAGCCCAGTCCATCTTGCTTGCGACTGTAGTAGATTTAAAAATTTTTTAACATTGGACTTAGAAATTGTGCCCACATGGACTTGCCTGTTAATCATTTGTCCTGTTATTTCAAAACTCCTTACGCCTAAAATAATTATAATATATATTTGTAACCTAATGAATCTTGTTCTCTCTGCCATSCAGACATTTCTTGCTACTTTACGTTTTTGTGCAAAAAGTCACAAAGTTTAGCTACACAATTAGAATGTGACCTTTATGAATAGCTGATAAGGGCCGATGTAGTAACAGAGCTCAATGGTCTATGTTTCCAGGCAGGAAGCTGGTGCGTAAGTTGGAAAAAAAAGTGAATCTCTTGGTTTATATCTGAAGTGAGACAGAGAGGTGAAAACATATTTCATAAATAAAATGCTTGAACTCTGGAAATGCCCAGACCTGGTGGTTTTGTTTTTTTTTTTTTTAACGTAGGATAAATGGGCTTTTAAACTAGAGGACTTTAACCTTTGTAAGTGCCTAAATCAGGTGGGAAGAATTGAACCTTGTTGAATGACTAAGAAAGCTTGAAACAACTGCTGTTCCGAAGGATTAGCTTCCAGATCAGTCTGCTGTGTATTTATGCCTTTGCCCACCTTTTCAAGTGTCCTGCTAAACATCRCTTGAAGGATCTAGATAGAATTAAGGGTTTTAAATATTGGAATTGTGTGATGTTAGGAAGTGGAATGTTGCTAGCTATCTTTTCCTTCAACCATCTCRTTCTTTATTACCTGCTTACTGTACTCATTTTAAAACAGGGTGCAAACCTGTTGGTTTGGGGATTGGAGATACTAGAGTCTRCAAGAATCTAAATTAAGTCATTTTTAATGTGGTCCATTTTTTTTTTCTGGGTGGCAGCACAACACATAAGAAATGGGTTTTATTGCTAGAAATAATACCAGCCTTTATTTTGTCTCTTTAGAGTTGTATTTTAACCTGCAAAGTCAAAGAATTGTGCATTCTTAATAGAAAGGGTTCACTGGAATGGACGTGGGTGAAAGATGTTTTACTTCAGTTTTGGGAGACAGTTCTTGTGAGCTTGTGAAGCAACCTTCTGAAACCATCATGATTGCTATGCCTGTAGAAAGTTAATTATGATAATTTTTTTAAGTTGCAGACCCCAGCCTCGTTTGCGCAAAGTGTTCAGGAACTAACTATTGCTCTTCAGAGGACTGGAGATCCAGCTAACCTGAATCGTCTTCGACCTCACCTAGAGCTCCTGGCAAATATTGATCCCAGTCCAGGTAAATCTGGATGTTTTTATGAAAACCTCTAAGTTTAGCGAGATGAACTTAACACTGTTCAGGGATTGAAAGGTGATCATCAAGTGTAAAGAAACATCCTCCTGACTCATCAACCCAAGAGTTTCGGATTCCAAAGTGGAATTTTGATAGACTGAATAGAGAGAAGCTAGGCAAAAATCAGTCTAGGCAAGAAAGGTTTTTTATCCTATGAAATTTAGTATTTTTCTTGTTAATATATAATTCTGCAAAGGTGGGAAATAGTGTGGGAAGAGGAAGATAGTTGGAAAGAATAAAACTGGGAAGGGAAACCTAAGTTGTTGACAGAGGAGGGACAGATAGAAATTGTTGCAAAAGTCACCAGTGCTGTGAGGATATACCACCTGAGGGAGAAGGGAAGGGACGGAACAATGTTATGGCTAAAGTTTTACTTTATACCTGCTAAAATTTGTAAAAACAGTATTATATTTCAAAATAGTATGAAGATACAAACTACACCTTCAGGAAATGAAACCTTGTACTTCTTACTTGTTTAAACAAACAGAARCTAGATTTCCCTTTCCAGTGAGGACACACTGGTGCTTTGCAGCTAAAGGAGATGCTGTGCTTTCTTCCCAGATCTTTCATACTGAAAAAACAAGCTGGGGACAAACTTGTGTACTGCAAATTTGTTAAGAAAAAACTGATATGGAAAGTGGCATCACAAATAGCCTCCTTTGGCTTCAACAGCCAAGTCTGGCCTTAATGGTTTTTTTTCAGTACTGTTGAGTTGTGTAGRTAACAACAGGGAAGCACATTGTAGTACATCTGGAATAATTTAGTCCTTGTGAGTGGATTACAATGTAATTAATTGTGCTAAAGATTTCGAAAGGCACTTCGAGGTTCTGTGTTTTGCAGCAGTGTTCAGTCACACCGTGGGAGTGTCAGCTGCTGGAGCAGATTCAAAAACTTTGAAAAGTAAATTGATTAAACAGAAAAGGTGCTCCTACAGAATTGAGACTACAATTTATTCACAGTCTTTTAGATGGTCTGATTCACAGATTTGCCTTGTGATATTTTTTCCACATGAGAGGCATTAATTTCTGTTGCTGTTCCATGTCTGTGCTTGTGTAATCAAGCCAGTGATGATGATATTTGTACAGAATGATTTTGCCTCTGTGAGTCTGAATGCCAAGAGGGATTTTAAAACAGATGTTTTTCATTGTGAGAATACAGTGCATTTGCTTTGGAGTTCTTGGGAGATGTGAAAATTCTTGTAAAAGGAAGTAATTCGTGAAAGTTCTTGTAAAAGGAATTAATTTGACATGCTAATAAGCGTCTTACAGGCTCATTTGGTATTTTGGGCAGTTCAGTCTTAAGTCTGCATATACTTTTATTTTGTAAGAGGTAAATATGCCACAATTGAGGTGCTGAGTGCTTTATGTCTACTAATAAAACATTATTTATTAACTTGCTAGTCAAGTTTTGTAATACTAATGGAGGTTTTTGTATCTGGTTTTGGAAATCATTCTGACTTTTCTTTTTATATTCTGTGTTTGCTGTCCATGCAACAGATGCTCCACCTCCAACATGGGAACAACTGGAAAATGGACTAGTTGCTGTGAGGACTGTGGTTCATGGCTTAGTTGATTATATCCAGAATCACAGCAAAAAAGGAACAGATCAGCAACAGGTAAAAAGCTAAATAATTTGGGAAATGTGTACCCCTAAGTTTTATTTGCTGTAATCCTGTAGAAGTGGTTTACTAAAGTCATCTGGAAAGATTTGGTTTAACAAAGAGCTGATTGAAAGCATCACTGCTGGGTCATATTATTTATCAAAATAGACACAAGAARGGAAAAAACCGAAACAATGCAGGTTTGCCCCCAAAACCTGTGGAATTAATTTTSACAGCTCACTAGGTTGAAAAGAGATCAGTCTGATCCAGCTGCAGGCTTGGGAAATGAATAGCAACCCTCCCAGGGATAGGCAGGGGAAGGGATGCTGGGATGCTGCTGTGATCTGTGGCAATTTTCTTTGTTTTGTTTTAATGTGACATATTTCAGCCAGCTGACTCTCTGATAATGAAATTTTCCTTATACCTGTGCTTAATGGTCTGTCAAGTTTGAAGATTTAAGAATACTTCATATGAAGGTGCAATCCAGGTTCCTGAAACAATTTTTTTGTTTCAGCAATGAAATTACRTTGCCAAATATTATACAGTAGCTTATCTCATTGTTACCTTATCACGAATTCCTTTGATCTCATTTTGTTGTGTAGCTCAGTTGATGTAAATGCTGCTGAAAGATGGAGCTGCTTGTACCAGTCCCAGTCCTCTCTTGCTTTGGCATTCATCCTCTTGGAGAGCTGGTTTGGGGAGCTCAACTAGTAGACAGATTATCTCTGCCAAAAAAAAAGGCAAAATTAAAGTGAATTAATTATATCTGCTGTTTCACCTTTTTGCATTCACTGGGATGGATAATGAGCACTGTCACCAGCAAAAGGARAAGCAGTAGTAATGCATAAGTGGGAATTGGGGAGGGGAAAACAGCACAAGTTTTTGTTGTGGAGAGCTTGTGGCCTAGACCTGCTACATGCTGTGCTGCTTGGGAGGGAACCCAGACTCTCCCAAATGAGAAGGAATGTCTGCCRAGCACTGGGGAGAGTTGTGCTGCCTGGCAGCAGTGGCCAGTCACAGTTACTGACCAGTGACCTGTGCAGCTTAGGTTCACCTTGCCTGGATCTTCTCACTATCACAGATGACAAAAAACCAGAAGAAGTTTGCAGGTGACCTCTTACAGACAGACAGCTTTCGGCTGAGCTTCTCAGAAAGCAAGAGTTGGCTTTTACTGATCTTTCCCTTGGTGGGAACTATTAATAGTTATTTGTGATTATCGGTAATTTTTTTYCATCCTGTATTAGTTTTGTCCACTTAACTGTGTCCTGAAATGTACAGCTGTGTTCCAGTCAAGCTCTCCAGTAAGGAGTTTGAATAAAAATGTTGTTGAAACYTGATAGTGACTCAGCTGTCAAAATATGTACTCTTGAATCTGTTGGTTCTGTCAAAGAGCCAAACRCAAGTACTTCAATCATCTGTTTCACATTAGATACTTCTGAAATATTTAAATCTGAGGAATTATCAACAGTTACCAGGCCTTTGATAAGATATGTTCAGGTTGGTTAAGTGCACTTTCACGTTCAGGTATCTCACCTGGTTTCTTTAACCTTGTCAGCCCCCTCAGCACAGCAAGTACAAGACGTACATGTGTCGAGACATGAAGCAGAGAGGAGGATGTCCCCGGGGAGCCAGCTGCACCTTTGCACACTCACAGGAGGAGCTGGAAAAGTAAGTGTACCTCTTSTAGTAGAAATCGGTACAGTCTTTGTTTCATCTTAACTGTAAGAGTTATATCTAGGAATGAAAGGGAGAGGAGGTTATAACAGGGCTGTTAAACTAGCAAGAAATAATGTGATAAACTTGTACCAGTCATCTCTTAGGTTTTGTAGCTGTTCTTCCATACAGGATATTTGCTTTGTTCGRCAGTAATGCAGCTCTGAAAGTTTGATGTTATACAAGGTTTTTGGAGGTGGGCTGTTTTTCTTGCTGCTTGAGTGTGACTAAATATGCTGTGGGACTGCATTCACAGTGTTCTTATTTGGGGGTGCTTCTCATCTTCCCTTTATATTCAGGTAGGTTGCTGGCAGTTCTCCAAATGTAAAGAATGTATTGCTGGCTCTCCAAAGAGCCAAAAATGAACTTTCCAAGACTTTTCCTGCAACAGTTATTCTTTGTGCAATCTGTCRGAAAGTTTCATGCAGGAACTTTCAGTTGGTTACATATATTGTTGGAGAGTTAAAAAATGATGGTCATATCAAGTCTACAGTAAATGATCTACATCCTTTACAGATTTAGGAGGGCTACTGTTTATCCTAGAGCAAGATGCTGTGGTTCTGCAGGTTGTTTTAATTTTGGGRTTTTTTAAGTAAAATGGATTATTTAGGAGCTAAATAAATCCAGTGTATTTTATATAGTATATAAGCRTATTATTTRTTTTTTGGGCTAAAATAACTCAATTAAAAAGGTTCTTTTTAATGAGAAGAATACTGCAAAGATTTGGTTTTGGCACACAGTGTTTCTTACTCCTTTCTTAATCTGAAACTCAAAGCATTAATATGTCAGTTCATGGGCTGTGTAGCCCATGCAGTGCATAGGCAAAACACGAAGGAAAAGAAGCAGAGTGTGTGGTAGAATGACAAAGACAGATATTCACATGAACAAAGGATAGGACTTCAATACTTGTATGCTGCAGAAACAGGTGAGGGTTTTTTTCCTTTCTGTCATCACAYTAATGACATGGAGATTGGTAGTACTGGTTGGGGTGGTTTTGTTAACCTGTGTTGGGTGGTGGGTCAGCGCTACACCTCTGAGCCAGTTTTATGTATCAAGGACCGTTTGTCAGCTTAGCAGATGGGAGAGCCTGTGGTAGCCAGACTGACTTGCATGCCTTGGTATKAATGTTGTCCTGGACTGAAGGGAATGTTTGTTGCATTTCAGATTCCAGCAGTTTCTGTGGATGTATGGGGAACTTGGGAGTAGTGACTGTGCCTTGTACCTTTTATCTCTGCTTAATTCCTTTAAGTAGCTATTGTGTTAGTGCTCCTTCTTCTAAAAATGCATAGTGTGAATAATATGCATTGCTGTTGCTGTGCGACTCCTGTATCTCTCTATAAAGCTTTAATTTGGAGGAAGGTTATGGGGAAATGTGTGGTAATGCCTTAGMTAGAAAATTATAATCTAAACTTGCTTAAACAGCCGCTCGTTCCCTTCTTRGCAAGGGACAAAGACCCTGTGTGCATAGGCAAGTATTGAATTTTTTTAAATGAATTTGTATCCTGCACATGTGGAGACTGCAAGAGCACCTAAAAAACAAARCTGCCCTAACAATAAACCTCCTTTTTGCCTCTCTTGTGTTACCATTAATGCATGTGGGCAAATACAGAGATTATCTAAAGATTGAGTAATAACTGCCCCCTTTTTGTGCAGTAACATGTGTACCTTCCCTAGTCTGGGTTCCCGTCTCACTCTGTTATTTATGATGTGAAAGTGTTGGCTTCAGCCCTGCTGAAGAGATAGCMTCTTGTTCAGCAAGAACATTCAGGTCTGCAAATATGACCTCACACTTGCATTCTGGGATCTGAACTAATGGCAGGGTGTATAGTRGAGGACCTTCAACTCTGGAATTTGCTCCAGTACCGCTGGCCTGCTGGTTTTTGTGGAACGTTGATTAAAATGCCTATGTTTGTTCAGGCTTTAGTCAAAAGTTAGATTTTTGGAATTGCTGCGTGTTCACAGAGTTTTTGTCTCTGCAATCACTTTATCAAACAACAGCAATGGTGTAAGCTGTATATTGATACAGTAACATCAATCTTAAACTGTGCTTTAAAATATATCACATGGTACTAAACACGTCGCTTATTGCTGTACAAATGGAGAAAAGGTATAACTTCATATTTTTTCACTTCAGTGTTTGCTCTTGGTTTCTTCTCTGAGTAAAATAGGCTTGAACAGTCTGTAATTCTTACTATGAAGCTTGTGTTACTATATTTTATGTGATAGTAGTTTTTTATGCGATGCTTTGTTTTGGTTTTCTTCTCTTGAAATGCATATATGTAAAGGAAGTAGGATTTTAAAATTTGCTGTGTGAAGTTTACCTGTGAATTCTTGATKTACTTGTCATTGGAAGTTCATCCTTGTTCTGATTGAAAATGCTATTAATAGATCACCTATGAGGGAAGTTGTATTCTAGCAGGTATTCTCACAAGCCCCTTGGGAAGCTTGAATAGAAGAAAGCATTCAGTAGAATCCATGTATGAAAAATCGTGCAACTACTTTTACTTTTTTTTGTTTCAATTTTTGATGTGTGGTTTCTCTTTCTGAAGATTCCGTAAAATGAACAAGCGTCTTGTTCCCAGAAGACCCCTTAGTGCCTCCCTGGGCCAGCTGAATGAGGTGGGCCTGCCTTCAGGAGCTATCCTCTCAGAGGAAGGGGGAGTGGACTTGCCCAATAGGAAAACTTCTGCTCTGCCAAATGGAATTGTGTCAACAGGCAGCACGGTGACGCAACTAATTTCTCGAGGGACTGACTCCGGTTATGAAACTACCCTGAAGCCAGGGAAGATGGACCATCTGAGTAGCAGTGCCCCTGGATCCCCTCCTGACTTGTACGGGTCTTCCTACCTGTTGTTCAAATTGTTGTGTGTGTAACTGTGGAGTAGAAACAAAGTAAACCAGTTCTTTAAAAAAAGAAATAGAATGGGGGTTATGGTTGTTCTTGTGTTTGGTTGGGAGTGTTAGTGGTTAYGGAGTAGAGTAGAAAACTAAAGCTAAAACTCTAAACTCTGTTACTTCCCTGTTTGCTTATATTTTAATTGGATAAGGTGATACAAGCCTTCAGAAGGTGAAGTGTATACAAAGAACAGTGTGTTAGAGTACAGTGTGGTTTATCAGGCCTTAATGAGCAGTGCCATCTTTCCACTCTTTAGGCTGGAATCTGTCCCCAAGAGCTCTATTTCTGCCTTGCCAGTGAACCCCCATCCTGTGCCTGCTAGGGTGCCAGCAGATCTGCCCACAGTGTCTGTCACCAAGCAGTTGCAGATGGTACCACGAGGGTCTCAGTTGTACAATGCACAACAAGCAGATATGTTTTATCAAGACCCCAGAGGAGCTGCCCCATCATTTGAGCCAGCACCCTACCAACAAGGTAAGATTGATACTGAGCTCATGTTGATTTTAAGTTACTCTTCCCACTCTGTTTTTTAAGCTCTTCATCTGAAGTTTTGTTACAAATGACATGGACTAAAGACACTAATATGGTAATGTCATAATAAAATGGAAATTGCCAGGATTTTATGCCTTGACTGAGAACTTCAGTGCAAGTGAAAGCAATACTTGTATCGGTCCAAGTGTTGCAAGTCCTTCTGTCATTAGCTCTTTCCAACTGGGAYGGATTAGAGATCCAGTATGGTAAACCTTAAATCAGTTTGACTCAGGAAGAATGGAAATAAAGTCCATGTGATGACTAGAGATAAATGAAATTAAAGAAGAGTGTTAACAAAAAAAACTAAAACAAAACAAACAAAAATTAAGAGGAAAAAATGCTAACTATAATGAGAGCAAGTGAAGAAAGATTATATTGAAGGGGATTAAAAAGAAAAGATATGGCTGTGTGTATGAAAACAGGGAATGATTCTTAGGCACTGTGAGGTTGCAGAGAGAAATGAGATAAAGTGAAGTTAATATGAAAGAAAAATAAGCAATGGAAGACCAGAAGAAGTGGAAAGAAGAAAGAAAAAGCCCCAGAAAGGAAAGGCAAAATGTGGGGCRCAATTGCTGTGAAAGTTGCAGAGCATTTTGAGGAAAACCAAACTACTTACATTTGTTCATCAGTGAAAATCTGAGTTGTCTACAAAATTTGATGTCATGCACATACTCATGCTTCAAATGATCCAGAGAACCCAGATAGAACAGKAAAATCTTCAGGAAACCAGGCAGTGTGATCTTAGAAGTCTTTGGTGATTTACGGTTCTGAAATGTCTTTCTCCTGTTCAAGATGTAGAACAAATTGTTAGGTAACTTTAAATCCTAGTAATCCAATTTCCTTTATGTAGCCAGTGGCTCTGATGCGTTGGGACAAATTGAGTTAGTTGCATGAATTAAGATATACTGGCCAGTCTTCAGTTTACATTTTAGGTCTTACATAGCTGAAAGCATTTGTAGTGATCTGCAGAGACATTCTGGTAATTTATTTCTATTTGGCATGCTGGCAGGACTTGTGGAGCACCTCGGGCTCATCAGCTCTTCCTCAGCTACTKTAACACTGCCACCATGCTGGTATCTTGGATAATTATGCTGTGTCACTTGAGTTTCAGATCAACTTTTGCTTCTTCAGGGTTTTCTGCAGTCATTTTTTATGGATAATTGTAATCACTTTCTGTATCTTGTGGTTTTTCCCCCCTCGCCTTGTTGCAGGAGTGTACTATCCCACTCAGTCCATGTCTCGCTTTGTCCGACCTCCTCCGTCGGCGCCCGAGGCGGGTGCACCGTACCTGGAGCACTATGGGCCATACCTGCCGGAGCGCGTGGTGAGCCCACAGTACCCGCAGCCACAGGGGTACCCGGCCCTGGCGCAGCCTGTGTATCCCCCGCACTATGACAGCCGCCGCGTGTACCCTCCCGTGCAGCCCTACCAGCGGGAGGACGTGGTGCGGGGCAGCCCGGTGCCCATCGACATCCCRCAGGCAGCTGTGCCTCTCTACGTCCCTGAGTCCAGAGACAGATACCAGCAAACAGAGGCTTATTGCACCGTGGCTCCGCATCTCAGTCAGATCAGACCTTCGTGCCACAGGGTGTGTGGTTCATTACTGCATTTTTGTAGTTGTTTTGAGAGAGAAACTATAAACTGCTTGAGAAATGGAGTATTTTTATACTAAGGAGCTGGGCTTTGTGAACCTTTAGGAAGCTGATCAAAAACTGGAAGGTAATTTAGTTACTGGTCAACTCTGCAGTTCTAATGATGTTAATATGTAAAAGTAGACTGCTGTTTAGTGTTTAAAGTAAAAAGCATTGTAATTTACTTTGGAAGTCTCTTAAGTCTCTGACTTCTCCAGCAAAGATTAGGCTGAAGAGGGCTACTCTGGAGCAGGTTAAATACAGTGTGTGGAAATGGTCATGTGCATTTTTTGTACTGTGACTGACCAGCACTGTATCTAAATAATAAACATTAAACATACCTGCCTTGATAAAAGAATTTAAAATTCTGTTCTTCTGATTTTTTTCTAGCTAGATTGCTGACTGGAGGGTCTTTCTAGTATAAGTTTACAAACTTGTTTTGATAAATCTTCAGCTGGAATTGAGTTCTGTAGAAGAATTGGACTTAGATCATTCATATTTAAGGTTCTCAATCCTATTGCTGAGTCCAAGAATTGTTTTTAATGTAACCTACAGATWATCAGTTTTGAGTTTGCCATGTTTGTGCTTATTCCTGTTGCACAATGAATAATAGTTGTGACTAGGTTATGATCCGTAGAGTTCTACCAGTTTACCCTATATGATTGTAATGGGGAATGCCATKCTGAACTTGTAGGTACTTTGCCAAGCTGGAACACATTCCCTGTTTGTGGGGTGTCTTGAACTAACATTAACCAGTGTAGGAACATGTATGTCCTATATGAAAGTTAACAGGCAGACCKTGTTAAAGTGGTCGTTACTTGTCACTTTAATGATTCTGTCTATCTTCKGTATTTCACTCTCCTTGCAGTATATGGCTGCTTTATTTTGTTCAGATAAACAACACTTGGAAAATTATTCATTTTATGCATTAATGCCKCTAGAGCTCTGAAATATTTTTCTATCTTCATTTCAGCCTCATCCCAGCCTGGATGAACTTCACCGACGAAGGAAAGAGATCATGGCCCAACTAGAGGAGAGGAAGGTGATTTCTCCACCTCCTTTTGCACCATCACCAACCTTGCCTCATCCTTTTCACTCAGAGGAGGTAAGCATATTTTGACAAAAACATGACATATCGGCATGTTTAGAAAATACCTTGGAGTTCACATGCTGATAGGTGTAGACAACAATAAAATCAGAACAGTACAGTGRCAAGTGTTGGGGCAAGTAGATTTTGTGCCTAGGTGGGAATCCCTTGTAGTGCGGTCTCCAGTGTTTCAGTTGGGTGTTGATCTGCCTCTAGTCCTAAGCTCCCTGCTTTTGGTGCAGCCAAGAAAATCAATTTCAAGCCATTTCTAATTGAAGTAATTGGTCTTCACAGTTACTAGACTTTGCTCCTAATGTAYCTAGAATTAAGTAACAAGTTGATAGAAATTTATTTTTTTAACCAGTGTCAAAATATCACCTTCAGACTGGCCAAGTGAACAGTCAGCACTGGGAGTGTAGCCAGGGGATCAGAATTTCACGCACTTCATGCGTTCTGTGGCCCAATTCCAGAGGGTGCTGTATCTGGTAAAAAATAATCCTGGTGGYGTTTCTCAAGTTCACTGCTGTTGATATGAATAGGGATGGCTGCGAAACTGCTTCTTCCCTTCACTTACAGAACCAGATTTTTGTTTTTGTACAGTACTTGGATGAAGATCTGAAAGTAGCTGGGAAATACAAAGGAAATGACTACAGCCAGTACTCTCCCTGGTCCTGTGACACCATCGGCTCCTACATTGGAACCAAAGATGCAAAACCCAAAGATGTTGTGGCAGCAAGAAGTGTGGAGATGGCGGTATGCAGGGATAAGGGGAAACAAGAAGACTGGRTATTTCTGTGGGCTGGGAAGGATTTCCATTTGCTTTCCAGGATGATGGCAGTGCTTTTATTTAAACTCAAAAGTGCATTGCCATCACAGGAAGCATTTTTATAGGTGTGTGAAGCACTTAGGTTTCAAAGTTATGAACAGTCCTAACCTTGTGTAGCTGATACAAAATTCTGCATAGAGATGCAGAATAGCCACTCTGCTATGAAGGCGTGGATAGCAAGAACATTTTCCAAGGATTATTCATTACATTTACTGACATGTAAAAATTACTCTGTCCTAGCAGCTTGTTAATCAAGCATGTCCATCTGTTGCTGCATGTACTTCATTCTGTCAGGAAGATGCTGTAACTTAACTTAGGCTATTAATTCCTTTTAAGGTGACTGTTACTGCTGCTAGCAGTGTTACTAGTTTTTCCTGAAGGACTGTGATTTGTCACCACAAGAGTACCCAAAACTTGTATGAACTTTTTGAGAAAAGCACAGTCAAAATGTAGTACTAGGCTACTTCTTGAAGGCARTTTCTGGCTCTGTGCCGTATTATTCAGCCCTTCACTGACCTTTGGGAGTTCAGTGTGTGTTATCTTGTTTTGTGCTGCTCCATTTTTGCTAGGTCGGTGTTGCAAAATGAAGGGGCTGCTAGGGTTTTACTACTGGGAGTCATGAATGGAGAAGAAAATAGAGGAGCCTGAAATACCACCACTATCAGTTTCTTCCTTGCATTCAAGCATCACTCAACACAAGAAGTAGGCTGGTGGCCCATGTACATAGGAAGTCATTCAAGTTCTTCAAGAGAAAAGACTGTTTAGCCTGAGGGACTCTTTTAGAGATATTCATATGTACTCCTTCATCTCCTGTTGGCAAAAGTGATCTATTGACTTATTTCTATATTGCCAGAGTCATGGTGACATTTCTTTGGCCACCAAGAGGTGTGGGGGGGAACATTTCCAACCAGAAATTTATTCTTCTGTGGGCAGGTGCTCACCTGTTGCAACCGCTTAACCAAATCAGGATTTTTTTTGGGTCAGCTTCTCAAGCAGGCTCCTTTTTTTTCTATCTGCCCCATTGGAATTAAATGTGTCTGTTTTCTGTCTGCTGAATTGCTTTTCTTTTAAAACTTTGAAGGCACTGTAGGAAATGGACACAAAAATGAGTATTTCTCCTGAAAAAAGCAGAGCAAAAAACTGCATTTCATCTGCAACTTTGGCCTTTTTACCTGTCCTCTTGCTGTCAGTCCTACACAGTGTGCTTGCCTGGAGTTACCACACTGTCACGTTTGACCTGGGGAAGTACTCAGATTACTTGGAATCAGCTTATTGCTGTCCAAGTGGCAGCATCCTGGAATTGATAAACAAGCTCTTGACTTTCATCCCTGCTGCCAGAAAACTATGCAAACAAACTGCAGCTCAAATAAGAGAAGTAATAAGGTTCTGGAGAAGCAGCCTCCTTTTTCAAGGCTAAACAAAGTGTTTCTCTGCCCTGGTGCTAATTTTCATATAAACAAAATGGGATCTCTTCTGCTCTTCAGCATTTTGTCTCCTCAAAGGAAAAAATTATCAGGAGATCCTTGCTGAATTAATTCTTCAGTAATTTTTTTTTTTTAATCATTCATGAGAGGTTCTTTTTTTCAAGGAGAGGAATAGGATCATCTGAGAGTGCATAATGATGAATATTCTGTAGATGACATGCAGCTTTATTGAGTAAATAGAAATAAATTAAAAATGGTACTAGCATCCCATGGTCTCAAGATTAAAATGTAATTTTTTTCCAGAATTCCAAAGTAGATTCTCCCTAAGGTTTTTGTTTTCAAGTATTACATTTCTTGAGTTTAGCTTACAACTTACTTCCATTTTCACCCCTTTATTCTTGCCTCAGATGTGTTGTTTCTAACAATCCTTATCGCACTGCAAGTTTGCAGTTTTATTTTAATTTTGGACCATATCAAAGTAGCCTTTAGACAGTTTGCTTGGTGTAGTGGCCCCACTTACCTTGCTCTTTTTATTTCAGTGTGTAGAGTTTTACTTCTTTAGTAAAGTCTTAACTTGATTTTGGCAGTTCTTATCACGTTGCTTTTTCTGGTAGCCTACAGATAGCTTTCCTATTTAACTAAGCTCTTTGAGGAGAGAATGAATATTTTATCTGTACATAAGCTGACCCATGAAAGTGTTTGAGTCTGAAACTCAATTAGAAACCAGGTTGTTCCAAACAGTACTGCTGCTTAATGAAAAATGCCTAAAAAGATATACTAGACATGTACATGTAAGTGCTGAACTGAAAAATTCCCATTTTGAATCATTTGCAGGCTGTTAGGTGATACAATTCTTAACAATTAGCTTCAGAGAAATTTCTTTTGGGTTGTTGAAGGARTATGTATTCCCCAGAGATGTCCACTGATCTCTTCTTTGAGATTATGTRAGGGGGAGGTTCCCTCCCCTTCTCTTGCTATTAGACTTTGTCTCAATTTCCGTTTGCTGCTGCTCTCTTCTTCTGGATTTGATCATAGTTCATTTTGTAGTTTTTTCACTGTGGTGCARTAGTGGTCATCTTAAAGTTAGACTGTTAAGCAGAGGTCCCTCCTGACAGTGGAGCTAGAAACTGAAGAATAGGAAAACTAGTTGAAAGGTGGAGGGACTAGAGAGTACGAGAGAGACTTACAGTACTATTACCACCTTGCTGTGAAAGGAATGTRGTTCTGTTATTTTCTGAATGAGCTTTTGAGTGCCTTTTCCATGTCTTGTCCAGAATGTGGACAGTAAGGCCATGTGTGAGCAGCGACTGGACATGCAGCGACGAGCAGCTGAGACGGGAGACGATGACCTCATTCCATTTGGAGACCGACCAACTGTGTCAAGATTTGGGGCCATCTCTCGTACTTCCAAAGCCATGTACCAGAACTCCGGGCCTATGCAGGCCATGGCGGTTCAGGGAGCTGCCACCAAATCCATCATTACAGGTACGGTTTGTGCTCTTRGATTTTGCTGGCTGTTATTTTCTTTACTGCACAGGTTGGTGACAAGCCCTGTAAATTGGTATTGTATCTTAAAAATACAGTTGAGGTGTTAATGCCACTTAAAATAACTSCAGCTAGGGTTATACTGGGAAGTCTGAATTCAGAAAAAGATTGCCACAGCTTCGAGATTGCTTGGTCTGTTCAGACTTGATGAGAGGAGACCGAGGGGGACACCACAGCAGTCTACAGGTTCTTCCCGAGGGTATGTAAAGAGCAGGCCTTGATCTGTCTGGTAACCAGTGACAGGACTGGAGCTATGTCCGGAGAGGGTTTCGTTGGATATCAGGAAAAGGTTCTTCCCCCAGAGGGTGGTGGGGCACTGAACAGGGAATGGTTATGGCTCCAAGGCTGCCAGARCTCCAGGAGCGTTTGAACAATACTCTCAGGGACATGGTGGTATTGCTGGAGTGTCTGTGCAGGGCCAGGAGTTGGACTCTGATCCTTTTGGATCGCTTCTGACTTAGGATATTCAGCGATTGCATTATTTGTTTGTGCATACGTGGTGTATTTGTTAGTGGTATGTTGTTGCTATTTGTAAGAAGTTACTTTGTTCTGCCAGTCCCTCTGATAGGAAACTCATTTAAAATCTGTAGTTGCAGAATCCAGAAGCTTAGGGCTTTCCCAAATGCATAATGGAAAACCATCTTGATGAAGTACAGTACTGCTGCTCTCCTGCTTTATGGGTAGCTACTCCTGCAAGCCTAATGCAGTCATTGTCTTGTATACTGTTAGGCAGACCAAAAATGTAGGAGTAGTTCATTTTTGACATGTCTGTTTTCTAATCAGAAGTATAATATGGCTRTCTGATTTATTCCAGAAGATTATCTCTTTCTTGAGGTGCACTGAATAATCTTAAGAAAATATTTAATTATTATATTCCCCCAAACTTCCTTTTAGATTTTTCAGGCAGTAACTTTCTAGACTTTACCACAGGTTGAACTCTGACTTCCCTGAAAACCTTATCTTTAAACTGTAGTTACCTAGGTGTGTCAGAATTACCAATCAATTCCTGAGTGTTTTAGACATTTCAGTAGTAAAAATACATGCAGTCATCATGTCCATAAATTTTGTTCTGTATCTTCATTTGCCTGAGTATCTGAAGTCGTTCGCAATCCGCAATAGGCTCTGGAAGGCTGTCACAGGCTGTTAGACGTACAGGAAGAGTTATGTATTAGGCATGTGAGAGCAGTCGCACGGAGTATTTCTGTGTTAATTTTATCAGAAGAAATGTTAAACTTCTCATACCTAGAGGGCTGGCCTTTTTTATTCTTCCCTGACTAGTTCTGTATTGGCTAAACTGAAAGCATGATTTTGTCATAATGCAGCCTCTTTTTTTTTTCTGTTCCCTGGCAGACTACAGTCCTTATGGAACCCATGGTGGCTGGGGAGGCTCTCCATATTCTCATCAAAATATACCTTCTCAGGGACGTTTCAATGACAGGTAGGATTGCTCTATTTTTTTGCTGCCTTTTTCTAGATTTTCTTGTATCTATTTTTTTCTGTGCCAGCTGAGTAAAGCTTTTTTTTTTTTGAAATCTCCTTATTTTTGCTTTTCTGATCCCAAAGGGAGAGACTGTCCATGTCGGATGTGGCTGGTCATGGGAAGCAGTTGCCCTCAGCTGAACGAGAGCAGCAGCTGCGCATGGAGCTGCAGCAAGTTGACCATCAGATCAGCCAGCAGACACAAATGCGGGGACTGGAGGTTGGTACCAGTATTTGGAGCAGCACTGAGGGGTGGTATGGAGAGCGATGAAGCTGGTAAAGCTTTTCATGGGCCAGCCTTTCTCTGACTGTGGTGATAACTCAGTAACAACACTTAATGCTTTGATGCCAGACATCTGGGCTGTGGTACAAGTGTCAGCCTCTCTGCTTAGCAGCAGAAACTTCCCTGCACTCCACATGCAAATCAAGACCATATTTGAATSTGCGCTCTGTGCTCAGTCTTGTTTGCTGTCATTCTCTGTCTCACACCCCCCACTGTTCAGCTCTGCTCAGAGGAAGACTCATGGTCTTGGTGCCTCTTCTTCTTGGCTTTACTGCCATTGGAAGTGTGGTTTTATGTATAGAAAGCCATGAGCTTCATCTGTTTCATGTTTGGCTTTGTGTTCGTGCCTGTTTATTCCTTAATAGCACAACCCACAAGAGTTGAGAAAGTAAACGTGTAATATATTTAGCTTGAAAAAATAAGGCTTAATACTTTGTCTCCTCACCTAGAAGAAATGTAATTGTAGCACAAGAAAAGATGGGTGTGTGTTTGTAAAAGAATTAATGAGCTGAAGTCTTTTGATTTTGTGAGACACAGAAGAAGAAATATCAAGCCATAATGAATGAGTAGTTTAAGAAAGCTTTAGTTACCTTTTTCCTCCTAGGAAAAATTAGTAAATATTTGCCAGAAAACTGTTCTAGGTACCTCAGCAACTGTTTGTGTTAGTATTTTCCCAGAAGAAATTGCTGTAAGTAGTGGATAGCAGCTTCTGCTGAAGCTATGGTCACCCAAGAACATGTGTTACAGAGAAGGGTTATTGCAGATTAGTTCAAGAGCTCACAATTAAGTCACAGCAGTAGTTGCAGTAATATGCAGTAATATGCATTTCTTAGTTACTTGGAATATGGATCGTGTTCTTGTGATCTTGTTTGGGAAATGAGAGAGAAAAAGATTTAAATCTTGCATGTCTGCCTTTGCCATAATACAAGAGTATTGGAAAGCTGCAAAACCARTAAGTGGCCTTCCTCTCCTGCTCATCACTGTTAAATCCTACGGAGTTGAATGTGGAGCCCTGATTTTGCCATAATACGAATTTGGCAGAACTAGTCAGTTATTTTGAGTATAACASCTTTCATGTTATTTTTTGTGTTCAAAGCTGCAAGTAGGTATTGGGAATCAAGGAGTCTTCACTGGTTTACCTATTACAAGATTGCAGCAATCAATTCAACCAGCGCAGGAAGAACTRTATCATTTCACTTATTCATTGCATGAGCATTTCTACTTAAAGACCAGGCAGATATTGGAYTGTGTGCAGTACAAGATGGTGTGTTTAAATGCAGAGCACACACTTGCAGAGCTGATTCACAAGTATTAGCAGATTTTCAGAGTGGCTGACATTTTCAGAGTGGCTACTGCTTTTGGTAGATTGAAACTTGTGAACAACCATAGTCACTTGCCCTTCTCTGTTCCTGTTTCCTAACATGGGTCAGTAGAGACCTACATATTGACAACTACAGTGTCAAGATGTTTTTTGTGATGTAATAATAATTCTAGCTCTGCTGTAGAATTAGATAAATTCTACTGCTGTAAAATAAAGCAGCAGAATTGCTTATGTGCAATTARTTCTCTTTTGTTGAACATACAGCTCAGAAAAGAGTACTGGTTTTGTTCATGGGCTTAGTCGGTTTTGAGAAGGGAGTTTTACATGAAGAAAACACATGCAAATTTATGACAKCAAGAGGTATTTAACAGTGCTTGTTTGAAAATGAAAAGACTTGCCTGTGTGTAAATAAACATGCTGAAACTTGCACTGAAAGTGATTTCAATTGGGACATTGTGAAGTGTGGTGAGAGGTGGCCTTGGTTTTGCAAATGAGCAGTACTCTCATGTTATGGCTTTAGAGCTCTCTGTGCTTGGTGTGTTGTGTGCTCAGTTGTGTATGTGCTTGGCTTTATGCACTTAGGCTGTTAGTAACAGGCTGCTGTTGCAGAGGGAGGCGACTACCCTGGCAGGCCAACCACAGCCCCAACCCCCRCCTCCCAAGTGGCCTGGGATGATCTCAAGTGAGCAGCTGAGCTTGGAGCTACACCAGGTGGAAAGGGAAATTGGGAAGAGAACCCGTGAGCTGAGCATGGTGAGTGCTGGGGGGGTGGGAGGTAGAGAGATGCGCTGGAGAGCCATGTACTGGCTGCAGCCCTTTCACCCTGGCAGAAAGGCTCTCTGCTGGATGCCTACAGCTGGAGTCATCCATGTGCCTCTTCACCTCTTTATTCTTCAAAATCTCCTGAGAAATTTCTTGAGTCTTCTTCATAAAAAAGTTTAATGTAGCCACTTTAAAGTGCTGTTATTTTGTTGGCATTTGAAGTAAGTGTGGTGTTGAATTTTATGGAAACTAAATCATCTCCAAGGCCATTGTGCCATGAGTTCTATAAAGTGCTTTAATATAGAAAACATCTGCCGGTACAGGCTAGTGTTTGAAAGTCCACGTGCTGTTACAGTCTGTGGTCTTTGCTTGTTGTTACAAGGATTATCCCTTCCTTTCAGGAAATACTGTGTCCAGAGAGGATGAGCATWTCTCAAAGTCTGGTTTTTGTCTCATGGCTTTTGTCGGTTAAACTGTGTGACTGCAATTTGCAGGCCTTCTTCTTTGTCCTTAAGGGATGAGGTCTCCAATTCTTTCAACACATTCAAAGAATTTTTCATCTGTCCTTTCTTTAAAGGAGAGTCAGTCTTCACTGGATATGAAAAACAAACTGGGCACCACTAAACAGACAGAGAATGGACAATTAGAACCACAAAACAAGGTTCCAGCAGAGGACCTCGCACTGACATTCGGGTAACATGGGCTTTCAAAATGTCTTTGTGTAACAGGAGAATGACTTCTTCAGGGTCACTCTCCTAGTGAATAATTCCCCTTGCCTCACATCAGGTCTGRTGGGAAAGCACCTACTAGGAAAAGAGGATATAAATCAAGTTTTTATAGTGCAGGCATCAATTAAAGACCTTTCTAGCTGATGAGTAGGTGAGTGGAATGAGACTGTATAAATTCATGCAACGGAAGACTTGCAGTGTCTGTCAGAGCAGAAATCCATCTAGTCAGTATTGGTGGATTAGTAGGGAGAAGCAGGAGTTACTCAGCCATTCACCTCAAAAGAAGTCTATCTGCCGTTTTGGTTTCAAAGAAAAGAAATTTCCCAAATGTGAGAGTTATTCCATCCTGCATTTGTGATGTGGATGTTGTCTAGGAAGATACACACTTTGAAACTAAGTTCACTTTTAGTTGTAGGTAGTAGACGTCTGTGGACATCTGTGTAGATGCTGGTATTGATTTCAGTTCACATTTAATAAACAGTTGGAATAAGATTTTGGCTGGGAATGCTGGAAGTCTCCACAGCAGGTATTTTCAAGCAGCTGCAAGCATCTACATATATTCAGGCTAGCACTGAACAGAGAAGCTCAGTTGTTTACATAACTTCATGTGAGCATTTTGGAATCTTGGTATTTATTCAGAATGGGGATTTTCTGAATAAACACACTATTGCTGATGAAGTCTGCACCTTCTTTTTATAACCAGTTCTAGAGTTCTGTGCTGCACTGTCAGATGGACAACTCCAGAGCAGGAACTAGTTTTTCCACATGATGCTCTGAAAGTAATGAAATCAAAACAACTTAGTATTTTCAAACTTTTTTTAAAAAAAAAAAGTTATCTAGGTAGGTTAGATATTCTGGAATGTGTACACTGAAGTCCTCTTACTTAAAAGTAAGTGAAAAATCTTGGGAATTACTTTTCACTCACTTACCCTTTCTCCTCTAACTTCCSTTTAGCAGTGATGTTCCGAATGGATCAGCTTTGACCCAGGAGAACATTGGGCTCCTGTCAAACAATATGGCATCTCTCAGCCTGTCAGAGGACCCCGAGGGAGGAGGAGATGGCCATGACTCCCAGCAAGCGGGAGTGACACACACATCTGCTCCATGAAGCGAGGCCAGCACACCCTGGAGTTCCTTCTGCTGGGGTGTCAGCAGCTTCCATTGTGGTTTTTTCCCAGGGGTGACGGGAGAAACCCAGGAGCAGCAGCAGTTGCAGAGCAGCAGGTCCAGAGGCAATGTGCACAAACACAACTACTAGAAACAAATCCTGCACATAGTTCACATTAACGCATTTTTTAATTAAAAAATGAAAATTAGCAGTATCTGCAAGCAATTCAAATTAAATTTGTTTTTGTTCTGTGAATGAACTTTATTTTAATAACTTTGGACGCCTTGAATCCCAGGGCTTAAAAAAAAAAGATATTATATATATACTCTTGTTTGATTAATTGTATGATCTTAATGAAATAGGTTTTTTCTTTTATTTTGGTATTATTACATACCCAGTGCATAATTCCCTATCACCTTAATTTTTCAATTACTAAAGCAATCTGGCCCCTTACTTGTATGGTTTAAGGGTAAACAAGGAATGATGATTGGAGAGTAGCTGTGAATTGCAGTATCAAAAGATGTGCAGCAAATTTCATACTTAACGCATTTCCTCCCATTATGGCCAGGAACTGAACCCAAGCTTTTTGCTTAAATTACTGAATTTAAACTATGAATGACAAAATCTTTGCAAAGGTGTRGTCCTTTTTAAAGGCTGGCATTGTTTAARGTCTGTGTATGTCAGAATTTGACAYCGGTTTGTCAGTGCTGCAGTGATGAATCCAGCCTGGTTTCCTATTTCATGGGGGAAGAATTGTACCCAGATGATCACTGAAGGTGCGGTACAGATCCTGCCAGAAGTACTGTGAAGCAAATTTTGCTTGACAGATCTAATACATCGCTAAGTAGATACTTCGTAGGCATAAGTCAGAGAAGATGTAAGTCCCTTTTGCTTATTTTTTTTAAWGATTTCATTCTTGCTGCACATTTTTTGACTTTTTTGACATGCACTAGGATAAGATCCTGGATATAAAGACCTCTTGAGAATGATTTTTCWAGTGCTGCTCCCTCTCTACTTTCTTGGCCTGTTCTCATTTTTTCTTTCTGGGTTGGACTACTAAATGGGAAGGCACTGGTTATGTAATAAATTACTGCATTGCTTTGGTTGGGTAAAGCAAGAGTTAATAAATTTTCTTGGGTTTTAGTTTTTTTCCTTAATCTTAACTCCTGCTGAGGTCATAGCAACCTTGGGCTAAGCTTTGCATTCATCATATTGTTTAATAAAACAAAAGGGGGGGGAGGGGATACAGTCCCACTATTGCCTACCAGTAGGAGAGTCCAAACAGAAGACTCTTTTGAGTAGCAATTATTTAATTTGCCCAGTCAAGGCACCGCGTTTATATACTATTTCACATTGAATTTGATTATGCCCTACAGACCTGGCTGGTCAAGGATTTGATACACATATTGGCTTGGGATTCGAGCTTTCTTTTTTATTTAAATAAAAATTTATATATAAATATATATATACATATATACATGGTTATATCTGTATATATATTGGGTATGTTTTAAGAATTTTTTCGCATGAGCGCAGCTGTTGTGATCAAATGTCTGGGAGGTAGAMGCACTGAATGAAATTAGTGGCATTTTTCAGCACACCCCACACACACTTTCCATGTCTTCACATGGGTTTATTTCACCCTTAGTTGAACTTTGGCTTCCTAATTGCCAAGAGTAGTTCAAAGCTTGCTTTTTTTCTCTCCCCTCTTTTAACTTTTGGTAAAGAATCTTTGCACTGAAACAGCTTCATCTCCCCTTGCCCCATCCATCTGTATCTCCTACTTGAGGCCAAGCATTCCAGCCACTCCCCTTGGAGCTGAGCAGACCTGGGGTGATGTAGCTGAGAGCCCATCTGGTCTGTTCCTCTCTTCTCTGCTTTTAGCATGAGGAGGTTGAAGATTTTTCCTGGCTGCTTGCTCCCAAGTCACCTGACACAGGCCCCAGGCMCTCTCCTCTCATCCTTCGGTGCAGGGCACCACCCTCAGGTCAGCCTTTTCCTTGATTTTAATTAGTTTGCTCCTTCCTCCTGTGTCTTTGTTATAAACACAAGGAACTCATCTTAGTCAAGATAATTAGTGCAATATTCTAGTCTAGGAGGACAAGCGCAGAATGTTCCTTTTTTTTGACTGCAGTAATTGTGCATGTAAAATTAATTTTCAAAGACGGTTATGATAGGTTGGACCCCGCAGATTCATTTGTAATACTAGGACAAAAGTCTGGAGGGGTAAAGACCTCTTTGCCTTTTTATTTCCTAGTTCCCTTGCCAGGTTAGGGATTATTCTTTTCTCTGAATTTTCTCCCTGAATTCTTCAGAAAGTGCTATTCCGATTGTTGGCCTATGTATGATGAACGCTTCAAAAATCTTTGGATTAGAAGGGAGACCTTACTGTTGGGTTTTTTTTCTCCTTGCAGCTTTCCGTGCTGTACTTCGTGCATAATGTCCTTGTTGTGATCAATGTGTCCAGGTGAATGCCCTGTTTGCCCAGAATTGTAGTTTGTCTTGTTAAATATTTTGTTTAATATCTACTAACAGTATTGATTTTTGACTTTGTTTCATCCCTGCCTCTTCTAACCCTTTTTCTGCTTTTTTTGCAGAAGTTTAGTTAAACAAGTYGAACAGCAAAATCCAGTGCATGCTCCTAAGTTTTTCTGGAAACTGCACCTAAAATGTTCCAGTTTTGTGGAAAAAGTGGGACACCTCAGAGGACAGATAGCTGTACATGTAGTGGCAGTATTGGTGGTTGCAGTTAACAAGTGTGAAAATGTCTGGAGGGACTCTGTTCTTGCTACRCTCATTCATTCATTGTCCCAGTTGTACAGGAGTTCTGGCCACCTCAGTGAAATTGGTCTCTGCTACAAACTGGTTTGGTTCCTTCTACTAGGCAAGAAGAAGCAGTATTACCATGGTGTCAGGGCTTTGCTGCATCCTTTGGTAGGTTAAATTTTCTACTGCACCAGAGAGCTCTGAACCCTCATTGATATCTGGGTTTCAGCCAGATGGACAGCATGGAYAAACCTTCAGAATAGGAAGCTTCAAGTGGTAGGTTAAGCTTCAGTTTGTCAGTATATAGATGATGTCTTTGTTCTGTGATGTTATTTCCCTCCTGTCAACATCTCATATTTCTGTCCTATGACTTAGTTCTTTTTTCTTAGTAGGAGAAGTTTAAACATCTGCCCCTCTTATATGCTCCATTGCAGAGTAGGACTTTCTTTCTGTGGGTCAGAGCACCTTTCAAGGTAGCAGCACTTTTATTCTTCTCAAGTTCTTCTCTGTGTAGTTTCTTCTGAGCCTTCTCTCCCTTTTTGCGTCCTTTCCTTCTGTGGCCTGCCCATGCCACCCTCCCTGATTGTGTAACGGTGACAGCTTGCTGCCTCAAAACAGAGCGTTCAAATGAATTCGCTTAGCCAATAACTTCTGTGAAGTTGCCTTTTCTAATGGTGTTATTACTCAGTGATGCACAAATGTGATATTGCCCCTACTGGTAGGCAAACGGGGGATCTGTATAAACATGGTAAACTGCTGTTTTTCTTTAAAGGAGAGCCAAAGACTTGTGTTTTACACTTTCTTTTCCCCTGATGTAGCCATTTTGATTGTCAGACATTTGCATAGGGTATTGTGAGTTGACTGTATTATCCTAATAAGAATTTCCAGAAGTTAATGATTGTCAAGTGTTGCTCATGCATTGCATTGGGGAAAATCATTCCATTGAGTCGTACAATTTGCARTGTACTGAGATGTATCTGAGGTGTTGTGATGTGTTTTCATTTTGTCATACACTCTCTCAGCTGATGGAATGGCTTATTTAGAGAGAGAGAAAGAACACAGAAATGTTACCATCCAAGAAGCCTTGTCTTTAAGTGTTTAAATCTAAATTGAATACTGATTGAAAATTTCTTCAGTTACATAAATAGATAAATCTGTATTACAAATGTGACTGACTTTTAAGCCCACTGGGACCGAAAAGATATGTGAAATGCTAGCATTGCATTAAATTAGATGTGGAAGAACCAAACTTGTATGATGATATTGTCTCTTGACAGCAYGGACTGAGTAAGGTGGGGCAAATTTTGTATTAGGGTCAGGAGTGAGGCATGTATTGATAATACAAGAAAGCTGCTTGCATTTCCCTTCCTTGAGCTAGTCAAACTCTCTCAGACTTGTTAGTCAAGTTTTTAGGTCAGAGAGAAATCTCTTTAAGGCCGAGTAGCTTAAGTCCTCATTTCCATTGCCATTTATAATTTTGGATTATAACAAAGCAGACTTACAGGACAGTCATCTGAAAGACCCCCAGTATAAAGATTCTTAGCTGGACTGGCTCTTTCAGACCTACTCTTACGGTCCAAGAAATGCCATGCCAGTGTTCAGGAGGCTCAACAACAGGAGTGCCAGTCACCTCTGCTCTGAAATGGGAGCGACCCAAACATATGAACAGGGTGCAAGTTTTTGTGCTTGTCTGTGTATGTATGAAGAAGTGTTTGTGGTCCTAGGATAGATACAAGGAACACAGAGCAATGGTGCTGGGGCATAATGTTGCCTTCACATGCAAATTTTGTTATCATTCACTCTCCAAAACACAGCCTTCCATTCCTGTCTCCTAATGTTGCTGATTTCAAAGCAACCCAAAAAAGTCAGTGTGTCAGCAACTTAATTTCTTGTATCACAATAAATCAATTCCCAGGCTGGGAGGTGGAAAGGGAGCAAGARTTCTTGAGTTGTCTTCATGGTAATGGAGTTGTGAAGTGGAAAAACATCTGCCTTGCTTAAGTAAGTGAAACTGGATTTCTGAGGAAAGCGAAGCAGCTGTTCTAAACTACCTTTTGTATACAGCCATGGTGCCAAGAGCTCGGTGCTTGTTACTTGTGGTAAATCAACCTGCAGATCATTATGTAGCACAAATTGATTTGCTCTCAGATCTAATTGAATCTTAAAATGTGAAAAACTTCATTGGGGAGTCTCATTTCCATAGTGGGCTCTTACCAACTGTATTATTTTCTGTTGGAATGTCAGGGAGTGACAGAAACTAGAGTAAGTCAATTCTAGTTATACAACATAAGAAAAGGTTTTGGACACAGCAGAGTGTCTTTCTATTGTTAACATGTGATCTTTATTCTTCTGTAGGAAAAAAATAATATAACTGCTTTGAGTTGTCGCAGTCTTCGGGGCGCTTCTTGTAATGCAGGTAGAGCCTTGGTTAGCAGAGAAGTGATATAAAACTTAATGTTTATTTTCTTTATAATTTTATTTCTAATGGCAAGTGAAATATCGTGCTGTGGGAAGTGCAGTAAGTAAAGAGGCTGCAGCTTTTTTGAGATTTTCCAATAAAAAAAGCACATGGCAGTGCGGATTTGTCTGCATCAGGAACATTACAGTGATTTGATACTTGAAAAATTTGGCCATAATAATCTAAATTGGATCCCTGGAGCTTATTAACATGAATAATTAACTGATCACTCCCAGGCAGTCTTAGTAATTTCAGTGAGTTTGCATATGACTTTCAGTGCCAATTGCTAGGTGTTCAGCAGTTGGGAAAGTTTAGGTGCCTAACTTSATCCAGCAAGGCACCTTTCTTTGGATATATGGTTTGGATGTTTTCATATGCTAGGAAACAACTGTTTTGAAGATCYGAAAGTTTTAGGAAAACACAATTGTCCACTTCAATTTTAAAAGTACAGTCTTGGGAGAGACAGAAGCAACAGGTAGTGCAGTGTCTGGAAATAAAAAGCATTAGACATGATGGAAATAGGTGGGAAATGTGTATGGGCTAAACATCTGTAAGCTGAAAAAAAATACTGTGGAGTATTTGATGTGTAAGAAATTATTTGTTTCTTTGTAATGTTAAAAAGATTTTATTAATAGTTCTGTGGCAGACAGTACTCACAAGTCTTTGGCATCCAAACCAGATAGTATATCAGATGGATCCCACAACTGGATGTGTGCACTGACCTCTTTATTTGTAGCTTTTTAAAAGAAATTTGGCAGWAGCCTTTTATAAATGCAGAAAGCAACCTGAGAGAAAGAAGAAGCCCATTCACATCACAGCTGCTGCATAGCTCACAATTGGTACTGTTCATCTGCAGCATCTCATAAGTGGAGCTGCTCAGCATGGGCAAATCTAATGACTTGGATTTTTTCCTATTTTAATTTTAAAGAGTTCCYATTCCCCCTTTAGCCTCTGCTTGCTGTGTGAACGGCTTCCATGCTAAAAGGATCTTTCCTTGAAGTCAGCTTAGCAACTGTGCTGTAGCTTGGCTATTTTTCCATATTTTCAGTAACTGGTTGCATTATGTTAAGCTCTTCCCCRCCTTGTATTTGTTGCTGTGGGGAGGAAGAGGTAAAGCAAGGCACATGTGAGAGGAGGGAGAAAGAACTGTGGGATCTATATGACAGCTCCYACCTCTTCTTTGAAATCATCTACTTCCAGTTGTGGGATTTCTCGATATATGATTCCTTTTCCTGGTTTTTGTAAGCCTAATTTTTCTTTGATCTTATTAGTTCTGTACAAGTCTCCCCGAGACATTCTGCAGTCATTATCACCTTTTTGGGTGGAGTTATTTTATTTTTTGGTTTGTTTGGTTTTTTAAATAACTTTTTAACATTGGTGCATATATGCTTGGGATAGAGCTCATGTAATTTTCCAATCGTATTGATTGTATGTGATTGTGCCCTGCAGAGGTATGTTTAACAAAAAATAAAAGGGTAGTCTAGGTAATAAAGGAGACCATGAGGTTTGTTGAGTCAGGTCATAAACTATTTCTTAAATTTATTTAGGATCCTAGATAAGTGAAATTCCATCTGCTRTTCTTGTGAATCAATGCTAAACAAAATGTCATTCATTCTGTCTTTGTGTTGGAACTGTTTCTTTCCTTGCTTTACTTCTCCTTCTGCTGTTTTCTTCCTTCCCATAAACAAAAATTCTCAGTCCTTCATGGGAATGGCTGACTCTGGGTTGATACTGTGGATATTTATTTTTAACTATCAAAACATTCATAATAGGAGTAGAGGTGAAGTAGAATGTGTGAGAAGAATTCCATAAATTGAATTCTTTGTGAATTCAGGGGAATTACAAAGTCTTGTACATACAGGCCTGATCACGGGGGAGATATTCAGAGATACATGGGGAATTCCTCTGTCTTTTCCAGGAAAGRTTAGATGCTTTACTGCCTTTTGGGAAAACTGAGATGACAAAAGGAGTAGAASAAAGTTCTCTATATCCAACTCCTTGTGTCTTCACTTCTACAATATACTTCTTAGACTTGAAAGGAAAACCTTCACTATGCTGAAGTGGGACAGAGTGGATTGAAGGAGGCAAAAGGCATGAGGATCCAGAGATTTGGAAGTCAGTATTTGTCTCCTTTATTTAATCTTCAGACCTGTAGAGTGAACGGTGTCACTTTTGTATGGAAGATCAGGGGAATGGAGACCTATTGTACATGCATGGCAGTTATATAGAAAAAGCCATATGTTGAAATGCTGTTTCTTTGTCCCTCTTCACCTTGCTTTTCTCCCTCTTAAAGCTGACTCAACCTCACCTTGCTCTTACATAATGTCTGAGGGTCCTTTGAATTGCAGATTGAACAGAAAAAAAAGTGGAAAGGTGATTCACTATTTGGTTTGTAAATAGATGAAAGTGTCTGCAAGGTCTTACCTGCTTTTCTGTCAGCATTTATATTAAATGATAACTTAACAGAGAACACTTTGAAATATCTCTCGTTTTCTGTCTGGGATGARTGTGCATTCTTCTGAATTTTGTATGAGGTGGAAGACTGTCGGACCATCTGCATAAGGTTTTCTTCAGCTCAAGGTGTGTCTGTTCTCTRCCGGGGTGGAGCCAAATACCAGAGAAGCCACGTCTGCTCTCTTCTGACTCCACCTGTAAACAAAGTGGCTCCTTCATTTGTTCACCAGAGGTGAACAAGAGAAGATACTTGATCAGTTTTGTTAATTGCTTAGAGGCTGTGTATTTAAAATCAAACCAGACCCTTCTGAGCAAGGAGTGAGCAGCATTCCTCTAATCTTGAGCCTGGTTTTGGAACATGCCTTGAAGTGYGAATAAGGTTTGCTCCACAGTCTGCTTTGTGGTTTTTAGTCTCTTCACTCCTCTGTGTGGGCTTTAACAAGTCRTTACCTGCTGTAAATCTGAAACTGGATGAACTGAAGTGGATGAACCGCTGCTTCACTGAAAAACCATTCCTTCTACTTCAGGGCAAACGCAGCCTTCTGCCCTCAGAGTTTGTGCATAATGTTCATTGTGTTGTCTTTATTCTTGAGCTGGGCACCATGGTGTAGCTGTGGTGTGTTTTGCTGGGCTGATGCCCATCACTGCTAGTTATTAGGTCCCCTCACACTTCCACACTTTGCTTTGAGTCATCCAGCAAGATTCAGTTCCTATAAAGGAATTGTATTTAGTGGGCAATCCAGCAGAAAACTGAGTTTCACTTGGTGATGGTTTTCATGCCCTTTCTCCCAGYAGTCTGAGGATTCAGGATCCTCATGTAGTGACTCACTTAGGAAGGAAACAAAAAGCTGAATTCCTGCAGTCGTTTGCTTTTAAAAAGAGGATCTGAAGTGCTGTGGAGCGTGAGTCAGTGCTTCCCTTTGGAAGGGAGCGGTGGGTGTTCTGCATCGAGAGATTGGGGGGAACTGGCTGGGTTTCTTAATGTGGAAAAGGGGGAGACTGGGTTCAAGYAGATGGCACGTGCTTTAATTTTTATTTCCTTTGGATATGGATACCAGAATAGAAAGAATCTTGAAAAGGCTAGCTCTTGAGACTCCTTCACCAATCAGGTATGTTTAAGAGCTATTTCTTTCCAGCTAGAATGTGTTCAGTTGCTTCTGTAACCTCCTTCCTCCTAACTGAGCTGCAGCTCCAGGACTACCAGAAGTGTGGGAGAGACTAAAACCAAAGCTTGATGCTTCATCTGTCTTGCCCAAGGCTTGCAGGCTTTGGTGCTTGATGGTTTTGAGCCTCTGATCCTTGCTTTGGATCTGGGAGCAGCAGCTTTGGGGGAAAAACATCCCCTGTATTAGAGCAAACAAGACATCTAACAAATCTAACAGTTTGTATTAAGACACTGGCCATCTCAGGTGCTTCCTTAGGGATAACTACTCAGATGCGAGTGCTGGGATGTTGCTTGGAGATAAACCAGCAATAAATTATCATTTACGTGCTTCACTCAAAAGTTAGATTTACCCAGCTACTTTGGAAGAAATGCCTTGRGAGCTTTGTGGGATGTGCAAAACCATAGTTGTTTACTTTTGATTTTACTGCTTTAAAATACCTCTGAGCASTGAGTGAATGGAAAATTGTGCTTGGATGTCTGCCTGGGTGTGGAGCATCCCTAATTCACCCTGAAAACCCTGGGTTTTGCGAGCATGCAAGTTAAATTAACCGAAAAATTAAACCAGCAGCCACCTGAAGCAGCAAGGTACAGTGCCTGAGTCCTTCCTTTCTCATGGAGGGCATTTTTTACATAACCCTTCAATTTATCTCCACAATCTCTGTCCCATATAACTRTATCCCGTACTGCAACAGTAAGGTMTTTTACTTTACCCAAACCAGTTTGGAGCTGCATTTTCCAGTAAGACCTCGGCTCTTACTGGAGGCCAGGAAAAGCGCAGCTCCAGCATCTGCTTAGCCAGCCTGCCCCTGGGACTGGAAGTTCAGGGGTCAGTGCTGCTGAACTTGTAGAGCAGCTGCATCAGGAATAGTGGTGTTCAGTCCTGTCCACTATCACTGCCTAGTGAAGTGACAGGAGTTGGGATAGCTTCTGTTGATCTTCAGCTTTCCACCTGTGCAAGTGAGAGGTCACAGAMTCACAGAACATTCTGAGCTGGAAGGAACCCACCAGGATCACAGAATGCAACTCCTGGCACTGCAAAGACACCCCAAGTATCCCACCCTGTGCATCCCTGAGAGCATTGTCCAAATGCTCCTGGGGCTCTGGCAGCCTTGGAGCTGTGACCATCCCCAGGTGAGTATGTTTAAGATGGGATGTATTTGAAACTGCAGAATGTGAAGTGGGGCAGCTTCTCCCAACTTGTGCCTTTTCAGGAAATGGACAGGTGACAGGACTTGGGACCAACAGGGGGAATACTTTGTTTAGCTACAAGATACCAAAATTAGGTTTACAAATACCTTACATAATTTTTATTCAAACTCTTGAAAGTTTTGGGGTTTTTCTCATGGGATAAACATTTCTCATGTTCACTTTCTGTTGGCAAAAACTGAGGGTATTTGGTACTCATGTGGGGTAGGTGGTCAAACTTTCCCTTGTCAGATTGAACTTTAAAACCTCTTTCAAACTAAACATTGCCTTTTTTTTTCCTACTCTTTGCTTAACCTTCAGCAGCTGGTCAACAGCCTTTGGCCTCAGCATCCTACTCCCCTCCCACCATCCCCTCCTGCTGTCTCAGCTCTGCTTGGGCACAGAAATCCAGTGGGGAAACTGCTTTGGGCTCAAGCAAGACTGTCCTCTCGAAAATTTGTGTTTGCCTCTTAAAAGCAGAAGGCTGGAGGTAGAGGGGCAGGTAAGAGAAACAAGTTCCACTAATCTTTCATTGTTAATTAATTCCTTGAAACAGGTTCTTTTCCTTTGTAGTAGCCTGTGAATTTTAGCTGCTGCTAGAGTGGCTTTTTCATCTACTAAGAGACGGTCCTCCCACCCCAGCTCTCATGAAGGCTAGCTTTCTAAAGCGTCATGCTTAACTTTTATTCCCAACCTGCAGCAGTGCTTTGTGCTGTGGAGAGCAGTTCATGAAGTCATGATGTCCTGAGTAGTTGCTGGCTGTGAAAAAGTACTGCTGGCTTTGCACTCTGGTTTTGGGGTGTGAGGTGGCAGGGAAGGCTTTGGAAGAGCCTAAATGAATTTCAAAATGGTTTGAGCTATTTCGCATTAGCTGGRCTGTGCAGCACAGTCCTACTGGCTGTGGGACATTCACACCACCCTCAGCAGGTTCAGAAGAGTGGATGCTGGGGATGTGCAAGCCCAGTTAGTTGTCCTGTCCTGCAGCTATGGAACAGTGGGATGGGAATGGCGTCTGCTGGCCATTGCCCAGCTGTGTTTCAYGGCAGCCAAGGGATGGGGGAATTTCTCAATGCTTCCATGAAGCCTTCTCATTTTGAGCTGAATCAGCAACTTGTTTTTTTGGCTTCCTGCACTTCTTTTTGCTGCTTCACCCTTGTATGAGCCTTTTCTAATTTCTACATTCCCCCTTGCTGGTAACCCCTTTTAGGCAGTGCTGTTGTGGGAATACTGTTGGGACCCGTCCAGGTTGATGCGTGGACTGCGTGGCAGTGCTGCAGAGGAAAAGGAAGTGTTGAAGAGCTGTGAGGGGAGGAGGTTTTGGCCAAATGCTATGACAAAGAGCTGGTCTAAGAAATAGCAGGGGCTCTTGCCTGCAAGAGACAAGATTGGATGTGTCAGARGCTGGGTCAGCCTTAATGGATGGTAAAGGAGATTTAAAGCATTAGCACAAAGCCCTGTATCTTCCCTGAATTGATGGAGTCAAGACTCCCTGGTTTACTCTGCAATAAAGTCTTTCTCATTTAATGAGAGCAGGGTGAAGGTGGAGGTGCCCTCTCCGCTCTTGTGCTCTGGCCTTTCAATGTGAGATTAGATTAGTAGCACTTTGTGTGATGGTAGACACCGCCAGCTACCTCTGGCTTGACAGAAGCAGGCGTTTGKCCTTGTACAGATAGCTCAGGACTCCTTTCCCTGGAGATGAGTGGAGTGAAGCTCAGGGACCGTGGGGAGGTTGTCCTTTCCATGGCAGGACCAGCCACGAGTGCGTTGGTGCTGCTGGAGCCGCAGGATCATGTATGGGTGARGGAGGGCTGCTGCAGGCAGTGAAGCGCTCTGCTCCTGGCCCCAGGGTTGCTGGAGCGTGCCTGGATTGCTGGCTGATTTTTCCTGTGGGAGTGAAGGGTTTGAAAGAACAGCACTTCCTGGACTACTTTCAATTGTCTAATATTTTTCTTTTCTCTTGCCCTGGGTGTTGTTTTTTGTTTCTGTATTTGGTTGATTTCCCTCCCTTTTTAGATTTTTTTTTTCTCTTTGTGGTGTCGCACCTGTCCTAAACTGATCACAAGATAATCTGTGTGTCATTTCCAGCAAGAGTTGTGGCTGTGGCCCAAGTGAGTCCCTCTGGTTTTGCTGTGCTTCAGCAGATAGTGGGGCCCTTGGGGCTCCATACAGTCTTGGTGCCAAATGAGGTAGTTTCTGCTTTTGCAGAGGAACTGGAGCACAGATGAAGTCATTAGCCAAGAGCCCAGAGGGGATTGTGGAAGAACCCAGAGGTCTCCTTCATCCCAGATCAGCCTTTGAGCTGCTCCGGTTTTCCTCCATCAGGTGCTGGCGCACCAACACTGCAAGATCATGGACAATGCAGGTCACTAGTGCTAAATGCAGGTGACTTTTAATTTCATTTCTCAGAAGGCAGTGCTTGGTAGCCATGGCAGTGAGTATTTGGGGGCAGGCAAACCTATCTGAGTCAGACACATATTTGAAAAAGTGTCTTGTGGCAGGCAAGAGCTGGGCAGGCTGCCAGCCCCTTCCAATAGTTGTTTCTCAAGCTGTTGTGGCTGTGGTGCTTGAGCTTCCTCCCACAGGGTGCATGAGCAAAGCGGTCACTCAAAGGGTATCTCAGAACCACAGCACGCAGGACGTCTTCTGTCAGCCCTAGGATGGCTTATGAGGCTTTCAGGAGAAAATTCTTCCCTTTGAGRGTGGGGAGGCCCTAGCACAGGATGCTCAGAGAAGCTGTGGTGCCCCTGGATCCCTGGMAGTGCCCAAGGCCAGGTTAGACAGGGCTTGGAGCAGCCTGGGATAGTGGGAAGTGTCCCTGCCCATGGCAGGGGGTGCAAATAGTTGATATTTAAGGTTCTTTTAATCTGAAATCATTCTGAGGTTCAGTGTGCTTTAGCAAAGGGGAAAATATAAATTATTTCTCCTGTGTTGGGAGATTTTCAGAGACCTGCTTTTGCTGGAACACAGTGATTAACATTAACCTGCACTCCTCAGGTACCAAGGACAACCAGTTTGCTTTGAGGTGGTATGAACTTTGGGCAGGAATTGATGTGACGTACCAGCCACACCATACATGCTTATAAAGTACATTTTGGGGGGATTGAAGATGCTGATTGCATGGAGGAACCAGCTTCCCTGGAGATCTTTTCCTTACCAGCTTTCTTCTCTGCCAYAGCATCTTCTACATCAGTAATTGAAAAGTACTGTAAAGCTGAGGTGAGCCTAGCAGGGTCCTTACACTGTGGACACCTCACTGGCCTATGGAGAGGACTGAGGAGTTCAAATCATCCATTTTGGTACAAACTTGTCAGGGCTGAGCCTGCTGCTTAACAAGGAGGCCCCCCAGGGCACTGGGAAAACACTCATTTCAGGGTATTGCTTCCAAAAGCATCGTGTGCTAACAGGCAGRCTTGTCCTCCTGGTGTCTGTCCTTGTTTATCCTGCAGGTCCAGGGCAAAAGGAGAATTGGAAAGGACCGTGGGACTTGTKTCACCATGGTGTTGGCTGGAAAAGGCCCATGGGCTGTGGGTTCCACAGAGCCTATGTAAGCTCTCTCTCTGGTTCCAGGACAATGCATCTGCTTGTGGTGTGTCTGCTCGGTGTCTGGGGGCTGGCTGCTCCTGAGCACTATGCCGTGGAAGACATCTGCACCGCAAAGCCACGCGACATCCCAGTCAATCCCATCTGCATCTATCGCAACTCCGAAAAGAAGCCCCAGGAGGGTGAGGGGCAAGAGTCAGCCAAGGACAAGCTCCCGGAATCCACCAACCCACGTGTCTGGGAGCTGTCGAAAGCCAATTCTAGGTTTGCTGTCATCTTCTACAAGTACCTGGCTGACTCCAAGGACAGTGGGGAAAACATCTTCATGTCACCCCTCAGCATTTCCACGGCCTTCGCCATGACCAAGCTCGGAGCCTGTGGCAGCACCCTGCAGCAGCTCATGGAGGTTGGTGGAGATGCCTCAGCCTTTTCCTGTAGCAGGTCTGAAAGACAGAGAAGGTGATCATGGCTGATGGCTGTTATCAGGGTCAGGACGATTCCTTGCCTTGGGAAGGAAATCCCAAGCTGGAATGACCTTAAATCTTATCTCGTTCCACCTCCTGCCACGGSCTGCRACACCTTCCACTAGATCAGGTTGCTGCAAGCACCATCTCTGGATTTGTTTAGATCCCAACTCTTTCCCCTTACTCCTGTTTTGGATCCAGCATTCCTGGCTTTGAGAGGTTAGTTTTCATCTGGAGGGAAGGAAGCCCATTTGGACGGTAAGGAAAGGGAATCRGAACAGTTTGCTTCTTGCAGATTGAGCTAACCCTTTCCTTATGTAAAAAGCAGGAAAAGCCATGRTATCAATTCCCATTGGGACAGGGACTTTTTCACATTCTCTCTCTCTCTCTCTCTTCCGTGGGACAAAAGTCAGACACCTTGTGGTTCACSTGATTTCCAGGGCAGGAGAGCCTGTAGTCGGGGGGCCTCTCCCTCCTCTTGTGGCCCCTATACTTAGGGGATAGGTCTGATCCCAGACTGACAGGTAATTCTGAATTCTGGCTCTTCCATGGGACTAATTTAATTCCCTGCCTGTCCCAGCCCCCTTCTCACTGTCAGACCCACTCAMCTGCTGTGTGGGCTTTGATGCTGCCCATACCTTCTTCTCCAAGGGAGACCTCAGGCCAGAGGAGCCTTTCTCCCTGCAGTGAAGACATGTGAATCAAACTGCTCTTCTTGTCCCCTCTGCTGCTATCCTTATGGATCCTACCTCTGGAACAAATAGCGTTGGGGTCTCCTGCCATTATCTACACAGCCTGARTGCAGTAGCTATAACCACATCTCCAAAATCTTCACAAGCCTACCCCTCTGGAAGGGGACCCTTCTCCCCACTGAGCCACCCACACCTTGCACTCCTAATCCCCCTTTTTCCTACAGAAGGGTTGCTAACACGATCTTTGCCTCACAGGAAATGGTGTCAAAGATCCTGGAGGTTCATAAAGAGCAATGGCCTGTGGGATTTTCTGTGCCTTAAAGCCCTGAGGTTGCATAGCAGTAGAAAAATCATAACTGTCCTTCCAGCTGACAGCTGGGAACAGAAAAATTCCTGTGCTGCAAAAATCTGTCCTCAAAATGATTGCTACATATTCCCATTCCCTGTAAAAATAGACAAGATGTACCAGAATTACTCAACAGGCCATGAGAATTCCTTCTGGGAAGGAGCAGCCTTCAGCAGTGTCACAGGAGGGTTTAGCACGTGTGAGTCCTCCCGTGACCTGGAATGACCCAGAGTTGCTTCCAGGCCCTATTGGTGCAATGCTTGTCTCTGGGGTGTGGTACAGGGTTATGAATACCGTGTTAATTKTAACAGCACTTAAAGGGGAAGCTGGGACTGGTCAAAGGCAGGATGTGAAGAACAAGAAATCTGCTGTTGGTAAGAGGAGCAGCATCTCCACATCTGAGTAGTGTTTAATCCGCCATTTGGACTCTCCAAAGGAGGTCTTGGGCTGATGAGCTGTTGTTTTACATAGATTTGGGTTCCCAGTTACAGGTGGAGGGTGAAGCTCTGAGAGTCTGTAGATTTTTTGCTGTTGAGCAAGGGCTGCACCACCACTTGCTCTGGGGCCCAGAACCTTCTCATGGATTCCTTCTTGCTGTTTGGCTTGTCCAGGTATTTAGATTTGACACCATTTCRGAGAAGACATCAGATCAGATCCACTTCTTCTTTGCCAAGCTGAACTGCCGCCTTTACAAGAAAGCAAACAAATCCTCAGAGCTTGTATCAGCCAATCGCCTCTTCGGGGAGAAATCTTTGGTCTTTAATGAGACTTACCAGAACATCAGTGAAATTGTTTATGGAGCAAAACTCTGGCCCTTGAACTTCAAAGTGAGTTTGAACTACTTTGGATTTTGCTTTTTTATTTGGTTCTGCCCCCGCTGCTCCCCCCGCTCCCATCTTTCTGCTTTAGCTGTGTCCCTGTCTTTTGCCCAGAGGAATTGCTCTGCTCTGGGTGTGTGGGATATGAGTGAARGCAGTCAGGAATCTGGGATGCAGCTCCTCCTGTTTCAGCTGACATTAAACACAGCCACATCCCCGGTCCTCATTCCTAAACTTCACTGTCCTCCCCCAGCACATACCCTGTGAACCTGTCTCCTGCAGAAGGGGTRCAAAGAGATGTTTTAAACCCTTGGCTTAACCTTTTTCTGGTCTTTTCCTTCAGGAGAAGCCAGAACTTTCCAGGCAGATCATTAATGAGTGGGTGGCTAATAAGACAGAGAAGCGCATTACAGAAGTGATCCCAGAAAGCGGTATTGATGATCTCACTGTCTTGGTCCTGGTCAACACCATTTATTTTAAGGTACAACTAACAAAACTGGGGAAGCACGCTTGCCGGGAGGAGACATGGTGCTTATATTTGTCTTCTCCCTCTCCTCTTTAGGGGCAYTGGAAATCACAGTTCCCAGCTCCAAACACAAAACTGGATGCATTTCATAAAGCCAATGGTGAGACCTGCAATGTCCCAACTATGTACCAGGAGTCCAAATTCCATTACTCCTTCATCCCCCAGGACAAAGTGCAGGTGCTGGAGCTGCCTTACAAAGGGGATGATATCACGATGGTGCTGGTCCTGCCCAGTGCTGGGACGCCATTGGAGGAGGTGGAGCGAGACCTGACATCGGAGAAGCTGCAGGGCTGGATAGACTCCATGAAGGAGGTCTCTCTCTTTGTCTACCTCCCTCGCTTCCGTGTTGAGGACAGCTTCAGTGTCAAGGAGAAGCTGAGGAAAATGGGGTTGGAAGATCTCTTCAGTCCAGAAAATGCCAGACTCCCAGGTGAGATGTGGAGATGGGGTGGTGCAGGGGGGAGTTGAGGGGCAGCCATTCCTCCCTAGATGGCAGGGCAGAAGTGCAGCAGCACATGAGGAGCAAGAACATGACAGCATTTAGATGTTGCTGCAGTCAGTGAGGGCCTCTGGTAAAGTTCCACCATGGACACTCAGCCCTGTTCTTCACTGAGGACATGGCAGTTTCGCAGTCAATTGCTCATGGGGGAGGATGTTTTTGTTTTAGGGCAGCCTTGCTTCCTGCGTGATCCCAGGCCATGAAGGATGAGAATGTGTTCTCTCTTGAGAGGTCTCTAAACTCCCAGTTTTACCTTTCTCCATTTTGTATTTCAGGTATCGTCACAGAGGGCCGCACAGACCTGTATGTGTCTGAGGCTTTCCACAAAGCCTTCCTTGAGGTGAGCCTTGTTTTGTGCTGGYGTGCCTTCCTCTTGCTTTTTAAAAACATGAAATATTGAAGGGGAAAAAGTAGCTCTGAACCTACAGTGTTCACCTCCTCAGCAGTCTGGGGCTTTGGAAGAGATTGGCCTCTGATTTCTGTGGAGGAGGAGGGTGAGCCCTCCCCATGCTGCACAATGCCTGTATTTTAATCCCATCTTCTCTCTGTTGGCAGGTGAATGAAGAAGGCAGTGAGGCATCAGCTGCTACAGCTGTCACTATCTCTGGCCGTTCCTTCCCTATGAACAGAAAAATCTTCAACGCCAACAGGCCCTTCCTACTTTTCATCCGGGAAGCTGCCCTCAAYACCATCATCTTCATGGGCAGGATAGCCGATCCTTGTTCCTAAAGGGGCTGGTAGGGCCTCACTTCTCCCTCCTCTGCCTCAGGAAAAGGGGCAGTGGGGTATTGCCACAAAGCCTGGGCTGCGCCAGGGCTGGTTGGCCTTACTGTTTGGTGCCAGCTGCAGGGGAAACTGCATCCAGCTGGGCTGTCCCTGTTCCTCYCTGCCATGTGGGCTGAGGGAACTCAAGGTCACCTTACCTGTCCTGTCCTCCACAGCAAGGGAAGCTGGATTTCATCTGGCACCAGTATTTTTGCGACACCCAAATCCAGCATTGCTGTCCTTCCTGTGTCCAGCCCTCCTCCCTTCCAGGCCTCAAACTGTAACTCTGACCCCTTGGTTCATTAAAACCTACAGATCTGTATGTAGTAGACTGCTCTCTGAATGCACAGTTTACACTAAGCCACTTCCTACACTTATTTAAATCCCTCTCTTGCAAAAAATGGGACCCCACACTGGAGAGAGAGGTTAGTGGAACAGCAGCAGCCACAAGGCTTGTGGTGGCTGGGCCAGGAGCACCCTTCTGCAGCTCCATGTGGGTGGAAGAGCTGGAAGAGCTGCCAAACAGCTGTGCCCTCCTTGCCAGCAGCTCTGGTGTGTCCTGTGTGCCCAGGTGCTGAGAACCACTAGTGACAGTCTTGCATAGCTAAGGCTTTGAACTTTTTTTTAAGACTTCAACTAATGGTTACTGTAGGAACAGTGTCCCTGACCCATGACAATGCACAGGTAAGATAACCAGTGTTATCAGTGTAGTTTTGTTGAAATGATGTTATTCCATCTGCAAATTTACTCCAGGAGCTGACATGGCCTGGCCTACCGCCAGGCCACATGTGTGATCAGACCTCTAGTCCTCTCAGGGGGGCTGTGCTTCGGCAGGGCTGTCTTCAAGATGCAGAAAGATGAGCTTTCCTCCAAGATTTCTGCATTGCAGGCAGCTGTTTCAAACCAAACAGGCAGTGAGAGCCCAGTTTGTGTCCTCAGTAGGTGATGGAAGTGGTGCGTGCAGACAATGACTTGCACTCCCCAGGGGGACATTTACTCTGGATTTTGTAGGACCGGTGAAATATTCACCTTTGGCAATTCCTGCCGAAAGGATCCTTTACAGAGGAGCCAAGCAGTGAGGGAGTGAACTTGGATGGAGCTGTATGTCAGAGCTTTGGGCACCAGCTCTCTAGTTTTGGAAGCTATCAGGGCTTTGACTCTCTCCTGTTCCTAGTTAGAAAAGTTTGAGCATCTGTGCAAGTGATGTGTGGTTTGGGCATGCAGAGCCACCTCCTCTGTTGTCCCACAGGCTGTGGCAAACCGTACACACATGAAGGGTGTCCTTCAGGGGCTCACATGCTCCCCTGGAGCACTACCTTGGAAAGAAGCTGTGAATGTAACACAGGGCTGGGGCTCTGGGAGAAAAGGGGAAGCATTTTAAAAATAAGGAAGAGTCCAGAAAGCAGCTCCTCCTGTCCTCCTCTGGCAATTGCCACTGTGGCTTTTCTTACTGGATCCCATCTTCTGCCTACAGACCTCACTGAGATACACAGTCTCCTGTAATCTCTGCCTTTTTGTGCTCCAGGCTGTGAAAATGGAGGCTGGTGAAAGAGGAGGGCTGAGGCAGTGCCTGGGYCTCCCTAGCATGGCACTGAACCAAAATGCTTCTCCTGCCATAGACAGCTGGGAAAACATCTGAAACTCAGCCTGCAGCAAGAGCACAGGGCTTTTCCTYGGGGTGAGACTGAAAAGGGCTAAGCCTGCTGAAGACATGAGATGAAACTCATCCAAAAAGTACAGCAGCCATCTGAGGAGCAGGAACAGCAGCCCCTCCCGAGCTGCTCAGCTTAGGACAGCGTGGAGCTACTCAGCTTAGGACAGCATGGAGCTGCCCACAGCTGGGGCATGATCTTCCCCTGTGGCACAGAAAATCCACACTGGGTCAGGAACAGTCAGCTAAAAGACACAGACAGGGATTTCAGTATTAAACCATTTAATTTTCAAACCACTCACATGCATAATGTTCTTTTACACAGTGTTAAAAGAAAGAAGAAAATGCGATTTCTTTTTTTTAATACAAACAGAATTTCAAGTATACATTTATAGAATTTTCCAAGATGCCTACCCAAGTTGCTAAGTTTCATTCACATTGTTCTTAAAGCTGTCCGATGTGAGCACTTTTTGCTAAACGGCTTTCAATGCAATTGTACAGTCCCCTCTACCTTGGTTTTATTTCCCCCTTTCCCAACTCTGGGTTCCCCTGCCACCCCTGCCACCCCCCTCCAGCAGTGCTGGCTGTCCCTGGACACAACGGCTACAGAGCTTCGGTCTGCCAGCATCTGCTGGAAGAGGAAAAGGGAAGCGGGTGTGGAGGACCAGTTTGGGAACAGCTTGGAAAATCACTGAAAAACAGTCTGATATCCACAAGTTACAGCAGGCTCACTCTTCAACCTGCTGCAGACCAGTCTGAACACTGACTTTTTTTCTTAAATAATGACTGCAACCAAAAATAAAATAAAATAATAAAAAGAAGAATAATTAGTACAGCAGAAAATTTCTTAACTGTGAACGTAAGTCTTCAATATTAGGACATCTGTCCTAAAAATCTTGGCTTTAAAAAAAGATTTGATTTATAGGTCACTAGTTGAAGGTGACAGCACACTTTGTTACATATGGTTACTCTGCAAACCAGCTCAGAGCAGAATCAATGTGGGACACACAAACTTGGATTTAAAAAAAAAAAAAAAAAAAAAACTAAACTGACAAGGGCTCCATATCCACATTATGGAAAAACCCCCAACCCCAGTAACAACTTTCTCCTGGCTTTGCTGTTCAGCTTAGCTCAGCCCTGGGCTGTCAGCTGGGTTGTAACCGGGTGTAAATTCTGACCTGTTAAAAAACGGGGTTTAAATCTTCTTGACAGGCAAGGGTGGGTTTTCTCTTGACAGATTACAAAGCCTCCTCCCAGCCACCAGCCCTGTCAGTGCTCAGGCACGTCGAGGGTGCTCCAGGCAGTGTGGGGGCCGTGCCAGCCTGGGGGGCTGCTGGAGGTAGAGCTGCCATGGCCAAGGGTCTGGCAACATTGCTCCCCCCAAGCTGTGGCTGCCCAGGAGCCACCTGCCTGTACAGCTGTGTCCCAAGCCAGCCACAGCTGTACTCATCTGACCAGTTAAAGTGCATTGCTGCAGAAAAGAGTTTGCTTTTTTTTTTCTTTTTCTTTTTTTTTTTTTTTTTAAGAGGATCCTATTTAAAGTGCTGTTCTAGTTTGGAAAGGGACTCTGTTTAGAAAAAAAATGGCACCTTTACACACAAGAGATCTGCTCTCTGTATGTGTGTGTATATATAAATATAAACTTGCAGAGTCAGATCTGCTGACAAATGAACAACATATAAAAGTGTTGTATTTTATCTTATTGCCTTTTTTTTTTACTGCTGCCTGCTCTCTTGGAGGCAGGAGGGAGAAGGATTCTCCTTTTAGCTTCCCCACCATTAACTGATTTCCCAGTGCAGGAAAGCGGTCTCACAGCTCTGGCCCAGTTCATTGTTACAAAGCACGTGAGAGGTGACAAAGTCCCCATGAGCTGTCACAGCCCCATGGCCAACCTGCAAAGGGTCACAGTGAGGAACTGGAGGCCAAGAATGACTCTGGACCCCATGGGGCTCTTGTTGCTCCTGCCAGATGCCATTTTCATAGAGTCACTTTACAGAGCAGACCTGCATTTCTGAAACACAGAGGTAAGCAAAACAAATCTCTTTAAAGTGAAAGCTTTGCTGCTAGAGTGTGTAGTGTGGTAACCTCAGCACTCCAAGAGAGAGAGGTAGTTACTGTCCTGCGAATATGCTGCTGCTTAATGCAACTCCATTTCTGGAGTGATTGCTTAAAAAAACCAAACCCAACAAAAATAACAACCAAAAAAAACC